GGGGGCGGGACGGCGGCGGCGGCGCTCAATCTCAGAAGTTTGGAAGTGAAAACAAGAAAAATGAAAACGGAAAAAATTCGTTTTCAGAATCATGAAGAAAAAAGAGAAAATGAAAACAGGTGTTTTCAGTTTTGATTTTAAAAAATTTTACGCCAAACGCGTTTTTTGTAGGCATTTTCAGTTTTTTTTCTCGAAAATTGTGAAAAATGAAAACGAGACCAGAAACAAACAGGCCCTTAATGTTTCACAAATGAGTTTAAAATAGCTCAAAGAGTTTTCTGGTTTCTTGTCAATGATCATTTAAGTTGGAAACGTGTTTTGAGTCATTAATGTTTCACTTTCATAAACGAGCTTAAATTAGCCCAAAAGTATTTCTGAATTCTCATCTTGTCCCCGAGAATTTTCTTTCAATTTAACTTTTTTTTAATTTAATTAACAAATTCGTTTCTTTTTTTTTTTAAGGGTTTCTTCTATTACTATTTCTTGGTTTTACACGAATGAAGGGGAAAAAGTAAAAAACAAAAAACAAAAAACAAAAAAACAAAAGCAAAAAACTAGGAGGATACTAACTTATTTGTGGATTGATGTAAACCACTTTTACTAGCATCTCTATTCATCCATTCCTGTTAAAATCTCGCTACTTAAATAGGAGGTCCTGTTAGGTGGGTAGGGGAGACTTAACTTAGTGCTGACTCACCATTGGGTAGGTGAGACTTAACTTAGTGCTGACTCACCATTTTACGAGTATTATCGCATGGGATATATATCATTTTCTACTTTTATTGCTCAATTGGGCTCAATAACCTAAGGTTGGTAAATGTTGTATTTTCGTTTTTGTCTGATTCAAAGATTATGAGACATTGAATTACTTTGAACTCGTCAGTTGGCAAGTTTGCACCTTAGATCATTATTTGCTTTTGACTATTGCTCAAAGTTTTTTGGTAGCTCCTTTTCTTATGTACATTTTTGTGGGTTGAGAAAACAGGCATTGCAGTGTTCTCCTGGGAAGGAGGTTGTATGGAATCTGCTGTCCTTGTTCACAGCAACTGGAATGGTTTTCTTGGAAATTAGCTTGGTGGTTTTCTTACTCCAAGAAAATTACAATATAGTGTTCAAGCTTTAACACATACTTTTCTCGTCTCTGGGATCGCAGTGGCTGTTGATGTTCTTCTTCTGAAGGTAATATTTTCGCATTTGCTTATCTTTGCAAATGCGCGGATATTGTTGTGTGCATGTATGAAAACTGAAAGGTTGTTAGCTTCTTAAATCCGCTTTTAAGACTTATTTTTTCCTGTTGATTTGATCATTGGCAGAAGTCTGTCAGTTAGTTCCAGTGTCTTTTATTGAGAAAATAGCACAGGTTCAAAGTTGAGTAGGTTATCTATCTCCTATTTCATAAGAGATTTTTTTGCAATTAGATGACTACACATAGATCTATGTATTTTTTGTTGAATACCACGTAGCATACTTGAATCTTGTACCTCGATTAATGATTCAATTTTCTTCTCTTTGATGCCTCCCAGGCGATTTATGTATTTGGGTTTGGGGCGCCGCTCTTCATCGACGATGACGCTCCAACTAGGCATAGTGTAAAGTGGGGCTTGTGGCTCGTCCACAAATTAGTGCTCACTGCAGTTTATGGCTTCATAGTATTTGTTCATTTCTCGAAATGGAGAGAGAAACTGCCTCGTGAGTATCTTTCATATTCTCATCTATCGTTCATCTTGCCAGAGTTCCATTAGTTTTCAACATGTAGTTCTCTTGTTTTCTTCTGCAGCAAGGCCAACATTTTACAACTACGTCATTGCAATGTTCGCGATAAATTTAGTAGCAATGTTTGCTTGTACGCTTGCAGTGATAGGGGCCGGTTTAGGCATTTGGTATGGGCAAATTTTTAGCCGATTGAAAATGAGATTTTCTGATTTTTCATCTCCTCGCAATATTACACTAGTACGAATTTTCCATTTCTGTCGACAGGTTATACTATCTTACTGCTATCTGCCATCACTCTCTGTATCTTCCTTTCCTATATGTAACCTTCCTAGAAGATTTTTTCCAGGTGATCATTTGTTACCTTAATGTTAAAACAGTTTTGTTCTGCTCTTCCTGATAACCTGTTTGATGGCTATAATTCTGATGTTTTGCATTTTGATTTTCACAGGAGGACTTTCTTTTGGACAATGCATACTACTCCGAAATGAAAGATGCTGGGTTCTTTGATGCTGATTTTGCATTTTGATTTTCAGAGGACTTTCTTTTGGACAATGTATACTACTCCGAAATGAAAGATGCTGGGTTCTTTGATGCTGATTGGGATTAATCCACCAACAAATTATGAATTTACCAGCTTCAGAAGAAAACTGTTGTGCATTCTGTATTTATTCTTTTGTTTTCTTTTCTTTTCTGTTTTGCCAAAGATACATTGTGTAGATAAATATACGTCCGTTGGATTCGAGCTCGATTAACAGAAAATTATTACATCTGTTCAATTGCACTGCACACGTTTCAACAACTTACGAAAATTTTCAGCAGGCATTTGCACACTGTAAATTGTTCTACAGCTCTTTTGGTCTTTCCTAAATATGCAATTTGTACGACACTTTGGTTCTTTTGATCAGAAGATCCTCTTTTATCCATGACATTTGAAGATGCTGCGGGCCATGAATTTGGCGATTCAAGAATGTGCTTCAAGCCAAAAATATAAGCACGTTCTGATAGTCCTCCATTTATTTTATATTATTTATATATCGCAAACTGGGGCTATCCAGTTTACCGGATCCTTAGAGGTCTGCCCATCCGGCTTGTATCTCAGGTTGTAATTACCCAATTGGCTCAGTTTGAGTTCTGATTCTCTCAAGTCTCAATAAGAAGTTGCTTGCTGTATATTGATTTCGCCAATAGGGTGCTCTTGTTCGAAACCAAGATAACAATCTGAAACTATAATCAGCTTCATTCCCTGGAAATAGAGCCGTTAATGAGTTAAACTAGTATGAGATTAGAAACTAATTTTATTAGGGAAAAGAAAAAGAAAAAGAAAAATGTCAAATCATAAATAACAAGAAACATCATATCTTACTCCCTCATGAGAGCTTAATTACGAAAATGCAAGTATATCGATCTACAATGCACGATGCACAATTAGAAAAGCTATAAGCTAAGAGCATCTCCAACCCTTTTAACACCAAAATGGCGTAAGAAAAACTCCAACCCACACCTAAATGGTGTGGATAAGGTGAATTGCCACTGGGTTTCATCCCCAACCCAGCATCTTTTTTTTACGACAATTTGCCATGAAGGATGTTGAATGAACAGTAGAAATGCATTCAACACCAAATGCCAAGTCAGTTTTTATTTTTGTTTTTACTTTTTGCTTTTTTAATTTTCCAAAAAGGCCACAAAACAATAGTTGTTCTCTATTGTTACCCCAATTTCTTCTATTTCAACAAACCTTTTTCTTTTTTGCTACCAAAAACGGAAAAAAAAAAAAAAAAAAAAAAACTTTCTTTTGTGTCCCACATTGTTAATTTTGTTTTATGGTTAATTAATATGTAAATGTCACGAAATCAATTACATAATGTAAAAACGCTTGATACCAACATGATTTTTTTTTTTTAATAAGAAACAGGAAACTTCATTGATCAAATAAAATATAGAGAAGTTTCAAGATGGATGAGAAATCCATCGAAAAGGAAACAAAGAGAACAAAACAGATAACACCAAATGAAAAGCTAAACCGAGAATCCAAAACAAGGACAAAAACTACTAGAAAAATAGAAAATAGATTCTAAAGCCCCATCTTATTCAAGATGTCATCCCAACTTAACAAAATCAGCAAAAGCAGAAAATTTTTAAAGGAAGAATCAGTTGAAGACCACAAAGATGCAAGGAATTTTGCTTTCTCGAATAAATCTTCAAAAGGCATCTCCTTCTCCTCGAAAACTCTGATTTCTCTCAAACCAGAGAACCCAAATAAATGCTAAAGTCAGAGCTCTCCTTATTATCTTAGCCTTTTTGTCAAAATTACATAATATCAAAAATAAATTAGAACACTAACATAATGCAAAATTCCTAACATAAAGCAATGAAATTAGCCATCTTCTTTATTATTCTAGTAAATAGATTTCGGATCCTTCAATATCGTTGAAATATTAGCCAAAATGACAGTTGTTGATGTTGCTCAACTCTTTTTTTTTGTAAAATTCGCGCTTGTTCAGCTCGAATATACTGACGAATGTTTGGATTAGTGATCAACTTCAAGTCTTGTAACAAAATTTTGTTTTCTTCTTTAGTTTTCTTTCGAGGCTAAATTCTTGTTAAAAAAGGCAAGACTTGAAAGAAGAATTTGGCCTTGAAAGAAATTAAAGAAGAAAACAAAATTTTGTTATGAGACTTGAAGTCGGTCTCCGATCCGAGCATTCGTCAATATATTTGAGCTGAACAAGAACAAATTTTGCACAAAAAAGAAAAAAGAGCTTAACAACAACATCAACAATCTCCTTCCGCATATGCTTTTGGTTAATATTTCAACAATATTGGAGGATCTGGAACCAATTTATCAGAATACTAGATTGTTGGCCCAAAAGGTGGTTAATTTCATTGCTTTACGTTATGAATTTTGTGTCATGTTAGAGTTCTAGTCTTATTTTAATATTATGTAATTTTAATTCATGTTGGTATAAATGTTTGATGTTTTTACATTATGTAATTGCATTTTGTATTATTTACTGTTGAAATCTTGCCTTAGTTAGTTCGGATTTCCAGGGCTGCATTATTCTATATTAGGATAGCTGAATATTTTGTATTAAGTTACCTAATTTTCGTTTATTCTCTTTCCTTATTTAGGCTAGATTGTTTCCCTTATTCTGTTTGATTTTTATTATGTTCACACGGTTGCAGACTGCAACCATTCCCCTATATATATAGTTGTAATTTTTCATTCAAGTAATAAGAGAAAATAAGAGAGCCTACCTTTTCTCTCAGTAATTTTCATGGTATCAGAGCCTACATTTGAAAAACCCTAATCCCTTCTTCATGGCCAAATTCGGCATGGCTACTGAGAGACAAACCTCTACATCCGAAGTAACCTCCAATCCAGAAACTGCCGCACCAACTTCGAGCAGCCATGGAGGACCGGACACTCCTCTCCTCATCACCGGCCACAAACTCAATGGTTAGAACTATCTCCAATGGTCCCAGTCGGTTATGATGTTTATCTGTGGGAGAGGCAAAGATGACTATCTCACTGGTGAAGTCACCATTCCAGAAAAGAATGATCCCAAATATAGGCAATGGAAAACCGAGAACCATATGGTAATGTCATGGTTGGTTAACTCGATGAACAATGAGATAGGAGAGAATTTTCTCTTGTACGGAACAACACAAGAAATCTGGGATGCTATTAGGGAGTATTTTAATACTCTCACCCGCTATTGGCAACATCTTGATGTATTCGAAGTCCACACATGGAAGTGCCCTAATGACACAGCCCTCTACCGGAAAATTGTCGAGCAGAAACGGACGTTCAAGTTTCTTCTCGGCTACAAAAATTTAGACGAAGTCTGAGGAAGAGTAATGGGGACCAAACCTTTTCCTAGCATTCGTAAGGTTTTCTCAGAAGTTCGACGTTAAGAAAGCAGGAAAAAAGGTGATGATGGGATCTCAGGAATCTACCCCAACACTTGAAGGATTTGCCCTTGCAGCACGAGGACCGCCAACAAACAACAATATTGACAACCGGCAGAGGAGAGAATTGCTGAAAAATTCATGACAAACCCGCTGATTGGAAGCCCTCACGACCAACAAATGACAAAGAAAATCGTGCCTATGTTGCTGCCTCCAAAGAAGATAGTCCGGCCGCAAGTGAGACAAATCCTTTCACCAAAGAACAACTTGAAGTCCTACAAAAGTTTTTCAGCCAGAATATTCAACCTCAGCCAAGTACTTCGGTGCCTGGAACCAGTATGTTAGCACAAAAAGGTAACCTTCTAATGGCCTTTATAGCTAATAAAGGGCACATGAAACCATGGATTATTGACTCTGGAGCGTCAGATCACATGACGGGAGATGCAACTATATTTCACTAATACAGGCCATCTAGTGAGAACCTTACCATCCGAATTGCTGATGGTTCCTCATCCAAAGTTGAGGGAACAGGCTCGGTCCAAATTACTAAGGACTTGATTCTAAGCTTTGTCCTCCATGTTCCTAGTTTGGACTGTAATTTACTTTCAATTAGTAAATTGACCAGTGATCTGAATTGTGTAACTAAATTCTTTCCAAACTTGTGTGAATTTCAGGAATTGGATTCTGGGAGAAAGATTGGCAGTGCTGAGATGCGTTCTGGGCTCTATCTACTCAAAAACAACACTCCTCTAAGAAGACAAGCTCAAAATGAAAATGGTGTGTCCTTTAAGAGTCAGTCAATTTTAAATTCTTATGTCAATAAAGATAGTGAAATTATGCTATGGCACTATCGTCTTGGTCATCCAAATTTTATGTATCTGAAAAAACTGTTTCCTTCTTTGTTTATCAATAAAAGTTCAATGCCTTTTTATTGTGAAATTTGTCAACTTGCCAAACATACTCGTAGTAACTATCCTAGTCATTCGTATAAGCCATCTCAACCATTTGCCTTGATCCATAGTGATGTCTGGGGCCCCTCAAGAGTAAAAAACATAACATGAACTCGATGGTTCATATCATTTGTTGATGATCACAATAGATTGACCTAGATATTTCTCATGAAAGAAAAATCTGAAGTAGGTCAAATTTTTTAAAATTTCAATTCCATGATACAAACCCAATTCCAAACCAAGATTCGAGTTTTAAAAACTGCCAATGCCAAAAAATACTTCAAAACTATCCTTGGTAATTACCTCTTGAGTCAGGGCATAGTCCACTTAAGCTCTTGTATTGATACTCCCCAACAAAACGGGGTTGCAGAAAGAAAAAACAGACATCTACTTGAGGTAACTCGATCTCTCATGTTCTCCACTAATGTTCCAAAGTATTTCTGGGGAGAAGCAGTCCTTACATCTGCATACCTGATCAATAGAATGCCCTCCCGAGTTCTCCAATTCCAAACTCTTTATTGAGTCTTTCTCCAAAACTACCCACATACCAAAATTATTTCTTCCTTAGATCCAAAGGTATTCGGGTGTTCATCATTTGTTCATATCCATCAGCAAAATCGTAGCAAATTAGATCCTAAATCCATTAAGTGCATTTTTCTTGGGTACTCCTCAAACCAAAAGGGGTACAAGTGTTATTCACCTACTACCCAAAAGTTTTACAACTCAATGGATGTGACCTTCTTTGAACATCAACCCTACTACCCCATATCTGAAATTCAAGGGGAGAACATGAGAGAATATCAGCTTTGGGATGTTCCAACCAATACTGAATCTTATTCTGGTCATTCACCACAGTCCAATGAAATTCTTCCTGAGACTATGGATCATACACAACTTGACAATGAATCCGAAAGTCAACAACCACCTGCAAACTCACCACAAAATCCAGTTTCTAATCCATCATCTCCTATCCACAATCACTCCAAATCACCACAAACTCCAAGTAAAGAGCTTCGTGTCTATGTTAGAAGGAAAAGACCCGAAAGGGAGATAGAGCACTCAACTCCTCTCGCACATGTTCAAGAATCTGTACTGAGTCCAAAACCTGTTCAAATTCACTCAGATAAGTAAACTTCCACTCTTGAGATTGAGAATGAAGCAATTGCCACTGATGATTGTGATATGCCGATTGCTCTAAGAAAGGGTGGTAGAACATGCACACAACACCCCATCTACAACTTTGTCTCCTATGGAAAATTATCTCCATCCTATCAGGCATTTGTTTCGGCTCTTGATAGTGTGCAGGTACCTAATTCTATTCAGGAAGCTCTCAAGAATCCAGAGTGGAGGAAGGCAGCTGGTGAAGAAGTTAGAGCCTTGGAGAAAAATGGCACATGGGTAATATCAAATCCCCCTCCTGGCAAGAAACTAGTTGGCTGTAAGTGGATTTTTACTGTCAAATATAAGGCTGGCGGTAGTATCGAAAGACTAAAGGCCTGCCTGATTGCTAAGGGCTTTACTCAGTCCTATGGAATAGACTACCAGGAAACATTTGCTCCAGTTGTCAAACTCAATACTATCCGGGTTCTTCTTTCCCTTGCAACAAACTGAGATTGGCAATTACACCAACTAGATGTAAAAAAATGCATTCTTAAATGGTGATCTGGAAGAAGAAGTGTATATAGAAATACCACCGGGACTGGAAAATTCCCTCAACAGCAACAAAGTGTGCAAGCTTAAAAAATCTCTATACGGACTCAAGCAATCTCCTCGTGCATGGTTTGACAGGTTTGCAAAGTCAGTAGTGAGGCATGGGTACACCCAATGTCAGGCAGATCATACACTGTTTGTGAAGTTCTCTCCAGAGAAGAAAATAGTAGTACTGATTGTGTATGTTGATGATATTATTCTAACAGGTGATTATGAAGGAAAATTATTGAGATTGAAGAAGCTTTTGGCCGAGGAATTTGAAATCAAAGAGCTCGGTGGGCTCAAATATTTCCTAGGCATGGAGGTGGCACGATCCAAGAAAGGAATATTCATCTCTCAACGAAAGTATGTTTTGGACTTACTAAAGGAGACAAGCATGCTGGGATGTAAGCCTGCAGACACTCCAATGGATTCAACGAAAAAGATAGGGACTGAAGAAAATAGTGCTCCAGTAGACAAGGGGAGATATCAGAGACTAGTAGGACAACTAATCTACCTCTCACACACGACCTGATATTGGTTTCTCTGTTAGCGTTGTAAGTCAGTTTATGAACAACCCAACAGAAGAACATATGGCAGTTGTGAACTGGATTTTAAGGTATCTTAAGATGACACCAGGAAAGGCTTGTTATACAAGAAGAATGACCGTAGAGATATTGAAGTCTTCTCAGATGCAGACTGGGCAGGAGATATCTTAGATAGGCGATCTACATCTTGGTATTGTTCCTATGTTTGGGGAAATCTTGTGACTTGGAGGAGCAAGAAACAATCTGTAGTTTCAAGAAGCAGTGCAGAAGTTGAATTCAAAGCACTAGCTCTAGGTATCTGTGAAAGAATGTGGATACAAAGACTACTTGGTGAGCTAGGAGTACCAAGTGAGAAGTCCATCAAGATGTTCTGTGACAACCAAGCAGCCATAAGCATTGCAAAGAATCCCGTGCATCATGACAGGACAAAGCACATAGAGATTGACATGCATTTCATCTCAGAGAAGATTGAGAAAGCAATTATACAACTGGTCTACACTCCTACCAGGTTCCAAACAGCGGACATACTCACTAAAGCTCTTCCACGAACTAACTTTGAAGAATTGAATCACAAGCTGTGTATGGATGATATCTACAACCCAGCTTGAGGGGGAGTGTTGAAATCTTGCCTTAGTTAGTTCGGATTTCTAGGGCTGCATTATTCTATATTAGGATAGCTGAATATTTTGTATTAAGTTACCTAATTTCCGTTTATTCTCTTTCCTTATTTAGGCTAGATTGTTTCCCTTATTCTGTTTGATTTTTATTATGTTCACACGGTTGCAGACTGCAAGCATTCCCCTATATATATAGCTTTAATTTTTCATTCAAGTAATAAGAGAAAATAAGAGAGCCTACCTTTTCTCTCAATAATTTTCATTTACATATTAATTTTTCTCCATATTAAAATTAACCATAAAAAAATAACAATGTGGGACACAAATGAAAGCTTTTTCGTTTTTTGGTAGCAAAAAAGAATTAAAAAAGTGTTGAAAAATAAGAAATTGGGGTAACAATAGAAACAAAATTTGTAACCTATTTGCAAATTAAAAAAAGCGAAAAAAAAATTTAAAAAAAGGGAAAACGCATTTGGTGTTGAATGAACAGTGGAAACACATATATGCGTGTTCATTCAACACCCTTCACGACAAGTCGCCATAAAAAAAAAAGTGGGTTAGAGATTAAACCCAGCAGCAGTTCACCTTTTCCACACCATTTTGGTGTGGGTTGGAGATGCTCTAATGCAAGTAGTCTAATATCTTATGTTGAGGCACCAATAAAGACTCGTGTTCTAGTATGTCACATTAGTTGATATATCTGTTAAACTGATGTCTGATAAAAAATATACAAAGACCTAATGCATCTTAAATATTCTCATGAAATAACCAGCAAGAAAAAAACAAATGTAAAGAAAGTTGAAAATAAGCAATGCATGATTGCATTCTAACCTGGAGAGCAGTTGGCTCTGATGGTAACTCCATATTGGTAACCAAGTGGTCAGAGAAAGTCACTCTCTTCAGAGCAAATAATTCTGAGGTCGAGGTGTTACCAAGAACCAACCACCATGCTTCATCTTTCACCTGTGCAAAATACATCAAGTTAAGATTCAGTCTGATTAACGCATATATATATATATATATATAGACACACATATATATAAGAAAGAACAAGATGAACCATTTACCTTAGGGAACCGAGGGGCAAACGCTCTTGAGGACTTTCTCCTGGAATTTTTCTTCTCCAGTTTGATGTTCAGAGAGGGAGATTTTCCACCATTAACTCCCCTCCGATTGAGTCTTAATTTTACCTGGACATGGGGGAAGTACTGCAGATCCTAATAACAAAAAGGGAAATATTGATTAGTTCACATGTCCACCTCCCAAAGACAGAAGGGACTAGCATTTCGTCAAAAGATTCGCCCGCCGCGTCCACTCCCCAAAATCAACGAAGAAAAAGAAAATGAATAAATAAACAAAAGAAGTCCTAAGAAGTTGCATGAGCAATTTTATTTTATTTTATTTCATTTTTTGAAAGTCTGCACAAGCAATTTTAGCTTGACAACAACCACCCCCAAATCATCTACATGAGTAGGCCACTTTTTTTCCCTGCCTCTTTTTTTTTTTTTTCAGAAAAAAGAAATCAATTTAGAACATAACTCCATTGTCAATATAAAGTTTCCTTTCAAAAAGAAAAAATGACATGTAGAAAGCATGACTAATGTTTTGCACGTAATTGTCCCTTTTTTTTTTTTTTTTTTTATAAGTAAACCAAACAATTATCAAATGTTTTTGGCGGACATAATTCCAGTTCAGATTTCTATCCAAACCATACTTCTGGGACCCTTGAGGCTTTTTTTTTTTTTTTTTAATAATAAGTGATGGCACCTTTCTTGGTATTATGATATAATATATACAATAAGCGTAACTATCCTAGAGAAGTGAAAAGGAGAAGTTGATTTCTTCTATGGCTGGATACGCACAATATCACCTACGAGGGTGCAAATGCAGCTAACAACGTGCCTCCTAGTTGAGAAGTAAATAGTCAAATCATGTTGAATTGATTTTTTTTTTTTTTTAAAAGGAGTAAAATTATGAGTATGAGGGAAGTGTATTTCCACAAAAGAAGATCATGACCATCCCATAACGCTAAGATGCAGATATAAACCTTCAATAGATGCTTAACAGCAAAGAAAACAATTTGCAGGCTCCAAACCTGAACTAATCTTGAAGTCGGGAAATTTCCAATCATGCTCTGCAATGCTGCCTTAGGGAGATCCAATAATTGCTGCAAACTAGAAATTCCCCTTCTGCTTAAAGAATCCGCAAGTTCAACAGTCATGCAGGGAAGCATCCACAAGGAAGAATCTTTATCAAACCATAGACCCTGAAAAAATCAAAACATTATATCAAGGGAGAGCAATGCTGCTGCATGTAAACCAAAAAACAACAGCATCAAATACCATCAAACTTATGAAGTCTTAATTTGCTGTGAACTTTTATTCAAACCTTCTAGTCTTTTTTTTTTTTTTTTTTGGACTTGACTTTAGTTTTCCTTTATTTTTATTTTATTTTTTTTCTTTTTGAAACAAGAAACTATATATTGATGATCAAAATTTAATTACAGGGAGAGGAAGAGCTTTCCTCTAAAATAATACTGAGGATCTCGAGAAAGCCAGTTATGTTATATGGGAGAGTTAGATATTGTGTAGCTCTTTGGGTCACGGGGAAAACAAGTTTATAAGCTTTCTTCTGTCTGATCAAAATTTAGGATGATTTCTTTTTTTTTTTTTTCATATTAACATACAAGTTCCATCTCTTTAAATTTCAGCCAGTAATTTCAGTTGTTTTGTTTGATGCTCTGAACCTAGGTCGTGAGATGATAGCAATTACATTAAGTAATCAATTATGATAACTGCGACTTAAATCCTGGAATTTGAGTTATGGAAGTTTCAAAATCTCAGTGACCATCAAGTGTTTAAAGGTATTCTTACTAAAAGAGGAATGTAAAAAAGAAATGCCCTTTTCCCCTTTCTCCTCCCTCTCTTGCAAGCAATTAGACAAATTATCTCACTTCAATTTGACATAACCAAATTAATAAATACTGCATGCTGCAGCCTACTATCTTCCTCAATTTCTTTTTTTTTTTTTTTTGAAAACAGTACCGCAATTTCTTTGATTGATGAAGAAATGGATTAAAATGCAACAGTAGAGGAATACCTGCATGATCATTTGCAAAAGATGCATGCAAGTGATTGAGCTTGAGAGCCATCCGCTATTAGCACATATATCTATCATGGCCTGGATAATGCGTATACTTTGATCCAAGACTGACTTTAAGTCTGTGACATAGTCGCTGATTGGCAACTCTAACTGAGAAAAATGTGCCTGAATGACAAAAATTATGTGTACGATAAAGAACAAACAAGATGAAAAAGAAGACAGTAAGAGAGTGATTTTCACCAAGGTCACAATGATGGAAAAAGATGATTCTGACCTGAAACAGCAGATTGGCCTTGACATGAGGATCATCAAACCGATCCTTGTCCACCATATATTGAACTCGCTTGGACAAAGCTTCATTATAATTTTCCTGATATTGAAGTCCAAGGTAAAACTTTCATTTCTTACACTAAATAAAACTTTAAGCGGTAACAACATTAGATAGCAATAGCATGCATATATATCCAGCAAATAAAAAAAATACGGGAGATTCTAAGAAAAATGGGACAAGGATTTCGTCCTTCCTGCATTATGTCATAAATTCGATTGAAAAGACAAAGCATTTCACTTAAAAATCTCATCTCAAGAAATAATGGAGCCATTAATAACTTAGTGAACGGAGTACGTACAATAGAAACGAATTAATAGAACTGGTTTCGTTCCTTTTTACTCATCTATTTTGGACTATTTAGTCCTAGTTGCTATATATGAATAAATTATATTTAATTGTGACTAGTTTCTGTCGGCATATTAGATTAGAATGGTCTAATCGGATTTCACTAGGATAAATCAATTCGGAAGATTTTGAATATTCAAATCTTCCCTTATCTTCTCCTATTGATTATCCCGGTTGGTTAGGATTAGCAATTAGTCAATAAAATCTTATTTGAATATTAAATTCAAATCAGTCACTTTATTAGGAGATTTTCTTTCCCTTTTATTCGGATAAGCCAACTAACCTTGGCTATCTATTTAATTGTATTTCCGCAACATTCAATAATATTGCAGATCATTTTCTTTCAAATATGCTTTCATGGTATCAGAGCCACTCTGAACCTTAATTTTCTCTGCCAACCGGAATGACAAAATACGGAATGGTCGGCGGGAAAGAAACCTCATCATCCGAGGTTACCTCTGCCTCTTTAGGGGCTGTCAATCCGATCCAGATCAATGGATTTGAAGCCTCTTTTCAGCAAATCACAAGTCCTAAATTCAAATGGACAAAATTTCGTCCAATGGTCACATTTCGTAATGATGTTCATCAAAGGAAAGGGAAAAGAAGACTACCTCACCGGTGATGCTGCACAACCGCATGAAAAGGATCCCAAGTTTAAAACTTGGAAAACAGAAAATAGCATGGTTCAGTCATGGCTGATCAACTCCATGAATACCGAGATGGGAGAAAACTTCATGCATTACAAAACAACAAGGGAGATGTGGGATGCAGTGAAGCGGAGTTACTCCAATAGGGAAAACACTTCAGAGATTTTCAGGCTCAAGGGAATTCTGAACGATCTTCACCAAGGAGAATTAAGTGTAACAGAATACTTTAATACTCTATCACGCCATTGGCAGCAACTGGACATCCTTGACGAAACAGCTTGGCATTGTACCGAGGATCATAAGCAATACAAGAAAATTCTGGAAAGAGAGAGTTTACAAGTTTTTGCTTGGTCTTAATAAAACCTTAGATGATGTTCGTGGAAGGATCTTACGTACGAAGCCCCTACCAGATGTTCGTGTGGTTTTTTCATAAGTGAAGCAGGAAGAGAGCCGAAAGAGATTAATGCTAGGAACCCCCAATGATGCTATGATCTCGACTTCTAATGATGCTGGAAACTCAACCACGAATGCGTCTACCTTAGCCGCAAGAGGACCACAATTCAACAGCGAAAACCAACAAAGAAGAAACCGGCCTTGGTGTGATCATTGCAAGCGATCTGAACACACCAAAGACACTTGCTGGAAAATCCATGGGAAACCAGCAAACTGGACCCCTCGGAAGCAGAATGAAGGAAGAGGCTTCAAGCCTCTCAAGATAAGCATGGAATGGATGCTCCCACACAACAACAACCCGCAGAATCTTCGATTTCACTGAACAAGGAGCAGTTAGAGCAACTCTATCGTCTTCTCACACCACCATCTAAGCCAATTTCTAATGTAGGGTTGTGCACCACGACACATAATGGTAACCATTCAGCCTTAATCTCATCACTTCATACCCAGGAACCGGGGATCATTGATTCCGGTGCCTCTGACCACATGACAGGTTGTTCCAAACACTTTTCTTCCTATACTCAATATTCTAATACTGCTGAAATTAAGATTGCCGATGGGTCTCTAGCTACTATTGCTGGAATAGGTTCAATCCAAATCTCAAAAAACCTTATTCTTCATTCTGTCCTACATGTTCCAGCCTTAAAGTGTAATTTGCTGTCCATTAGTAAACTCACTCGTAACAATAACTGTGTAGCTAATTTTTCCCCTTCTATGTGTCAATTTCGGGACCTATCATCGGGGAAGACGATTGGCAGTGCTAGAGCCTATTAAGGACTTTATTTCCTTGAGAATTCAGAATCTGAGAATCAACAAGCACATGTGTCAGGAGTGTCTTTTATTTCGGTTTCTAGTAATAAAGAAATAATGTTGTGGCATCATAGACTTGGCCACCCTAGTTTTTCCTATTTGAAATTTTTGTTACCAGCCCTATTCAAGAATAAAGATATTGTTTCATTTACTTGTGATATTTGTCAATTTGCGAAGTATACGCGTGTACCTTTCTCACCAAAACCATATGCACCCTCTATGCCTTTCTCCTTGATTCACAGGTTTATATGGGGCCCATCTAGGGTAACAACCTTAAATGGCAAACGATGGTTTATCACGTTTATTGATGACCATACACGGGTGACTTGGGTTTACATGCTTAAGGAAAAATCTGAAACCAGCCAAATCTTTCAAACCTTCCATAAAATGGTTCAAACTCAATTTCAGAAAAAGATTTCAGTTCTAAGAACTGATAATGGCGGTGAATATTTCCAGTCCACTTTGGGTAATTATCCTGACCGACATGGAATCATTCACCAAAGTTCTTATACTGAAACACCACAGCAAAATGGAATTTCAGAAAGAAAGAGTCGACATTTGTTGGAAGTGGCCCGTGCCCTTATGTTCACTATGAACGTACCCAAATATTTGTGGGGTGATGCCATTTTAACCCCGGCCTTTCTCATCAATAGACGACCCAGCCGCCCCCTCAAATTTCAAACCCCATTGTCTGTCCTTACAACTCAAGTCCCACACTTCAATATCCTCACAAACAACCTTCCGATTAAAACCTTTGGTTGTACTGCGTTTGTTCACGTCCATTCCTAACATCGCTCCAAACTCGACCCCCGAGCCATAAAAACCATCTTCCTCGGATATTCTCCAACAAAAAAGGGGTATCGTTGTTTCTGCCCACAAACAAAAAAAAAACCTTTGTTACCCGAGATGTTACTTTTTTTGAAGAGATACCTTTTTATTCCCACACTTCGCTTCAGGGGGAGAGTAATGATAAAGAAGCTTATGTGTGGGAATGGGATGTCACAGCCACAGTTGAAGAAGCTTTGACCCCACAATCAGCCCCCATTGTCGATATTCTAGTTCCAATCCAAACCGAAACTGAACTGGAAGATTCACAACCACCTTCACAATTGTCCTCACAGCCACAACAGTCGTCCCAGCCTTGTTCACAGCCAGTTCCGCAGCCACCTTTGTTGCCAAATCCACAACCACCACCTCCAAAACTACAAGTCTACTCTCGGAGGAAAAATTTTCAAGGAAATAAACAACTCACAGGCGCTGTGGACTGCCCTGAATCCGAACCTATGGTGGGTCCTAATCCTTCATCCTCAAGTAATCCCGAAACTCTCCATGATAGACTAGATGACCCCATTGCTCTAAGAAAAGGTGTTAGGACATGTACAAAACACCCAATTTCCAAATTTGTGTCATATGATAATCTATCACCCTCGTTTCGTGGTTTCACAACAAACCTTTCTAGACTTGATGTTCCCAGGACAATTGAAGAAGCTCTAGCTGTCCCAGAATGGAAGACTGCGGTGCTAGAAGAGATGCATGCCCTTGAGAAAAACGAGACTTGGAGCCTAGTAGAACTACCACAAGACAAGAAAGTGGTGGGATGCAAGTGGGTGTTCACAGTTAAAGTAAAGCCAGATGGTTCAGTAGAGCGGTACAAAGCCCGATTGGTAGCAAAGGGTTTCACTCAAACCTACGGGATAGACTACACAGAAACGTTTGCTCCAGTTGCAAAGCTCAACACTGTTAGGGTTCTCTTATCCTTAGCAGCAAATATGGATTGACCTCTTTATCAACTTGATGTGAAGAATGCCTTTCTGAATGGAGAGCTAGAAGAAGTATATATGAGTCTCCCACCTAGTTTCTATGAGGGCAAACGGGACAATACAGTGTGTAAGCTGAAGAAGTCTTTATACGGTTTGAAGCAGTCACCTAGAGCTTGGTTTGAAAGATTTTCCAAAGTAATCAAAGGTCATGGATACTCACAAGGACAATCAGATCATACTTTCTTCGTCAAGCACTCCACAAACAATAAGGTTACAGTTTTGATCGTGTATGTGGACGACATAATATTGACTGGAGATGACTTCCAAGAGATGGAGGAAATTAAGAAGCTTATGGCTAGGGAATTCGAGATCAAGGACCTAGGATTCATGAAATATTTCCTAGGGATGGAGGTTGCAAGGAGTAAGAAGGGGATCTCCATATCACAAAGGAAGTATATGATGGATTTATTAGAAGAGACAGGAATGCTCGGTTGCAAGCCCATAGACTCTCCTATTGAACCAAGAGGAAGGAAGAATTCAGGTGATGGAGGTCTGGTAGACACAGGTAGATATCAAAGACTTGTGTGAAGATTGATCTATCTCTCACACACAAGACCAGACATAGCTTTTGCAGTCAGTGTGGTTAGCCAATACATGCATACACCACGCCAAAACATCTTGATATAGTCTACCGCATATTAAGATATCTCAAGAAGAGTCCAGGGAGAGGACTATTCTTCCGGAAGAACGAGGATAGGAAGGTGAAAATCTACACGGATGCAGATTGGGCAGGTTCTGAAGAAGATAGGAGGTCGACATCCGGGTATTGTACTCAAGTTTGGGGAAACCTAGTGACTTGTACTTAGGTTTGGGGAAACCTGGTGACTTGGCATAGCAAATAACAGGCTGTAGTTGCAAGAAGTAGTGTTGAAGCTGAATATAGGGCTATGGCTCATGGCATTTGTGAGGCAATCTGGATAAAACGACTACTAGAAGAATTAAGAATTAAGTGTGACTTTCCTATGCAGCTCTATTGCGACAACAAGGCTACGATTAGCATAGCACACAATCCAGTCCATCACGACAGAACTAAACATGTGGAGGTGGACAGGCATTTTATCACAGAAAAGATTGAGAGTGGGATAATCAGTGTTGGATACATTCTTACAAAGCAACAAGTGGCTGATATTCTAACTAAAGGACTGCACGGACTAGCGTTTGAAGAATTAGCAAGCAAGCAAGGACTCATAGACATTTACGTCCAAGCTTGAGGGGGAGTGTCGGCATATTAGATTAGAATGGTCTAATCGGATTTCACTAGGATAAATCAATTCGGAAGATTTTGAATATTCAAATCTTCCCTTATCTTCTCCTATTGATTATCCCGGTTGGTTAGGATTAGCAATTAGTCAATAAAATCTGATTTGAATATTAAATTCAAATCAGTCACTTTATTAGGAGATTTTCTTTCCCTTTTATTCGGATAAGCCAACTAACCTTGGCTGTCTATTTAATTGTATTTCCACAACATTCAATACTATTGCAGATCATTTTCTTTCAAATCTGCTTTCAGTTGCATTCCTTCTTACTCAGAACACAAGTATTTTTTTTTTCTAATTTGAAAAAAGAACCAAAGCATTAGTATGTACTATTTTCACTGAAAATCGATAGTACTAACTAGCAGACCTCCCAAAAAGGTCAATTCCCAAATCTTTTCTTCCAATGAGAACACATTTGACAAAACACACTTGTGACTATTATCTAAATGAAAACTACTGTTAGGACCCATTAATAACTTGGGATTAGTTTAGTTAGCAGGCTGGTAGAGTTAGTAGAAATTAGTATAAATAAGGGGGTTAGAAGCTCCTGAGGGCTTATGTCTGATTTGTGAATTGTTCGGTAATCATTTGGGGTTTTGGGAAACCGAGTTTAGGGAGAGTTGTTGGTCTCTCAAATACCACCGTTTCTAGGTTTCTTTGTACTATTTTGAAGTTTTATCAATATATTCAATGAAGTTTCAGTCCTTTCTCCTTTGTTCGTCTGTTTTGTTAGAAATTTCTAGGATCCTAACAACTACACATAACAACAACAAATGTTAGATTATTACCTCGTTGTGCCGCACAGGAAGTTCATCGTATTCAGATGCCCCAGATAAGATATGCAAAAACACCTAAAACAAAGAAACCATCCAATAATGGCAATTTGTAATTTAAATCTTTATCGCAAACATCTTCAGAAGCTGCTTATTACCTCAAGTGATGTGTCAGGACCAATGTTCGAACCAAACATTGATACAGTCGTGTAACTAAGGTAATACTGCGATGCTATTGAACCCAGCATCATTGGCTCCACATTGTCTTCATTCATCTTGATGCATCCACCGTCTTCAAGATCCTCAAATGTTGTTTGCACTAACCTGCCAAAGGAGAATAGTCAATCATTCAAGTAATGAATCAACATACAAACAAGATTCACCACAGACATTTACAAATCGCATAATACCTAGATAAATAAGAACTTAAAATTTCAGGTTCCTTCGTCTCCAAACCATAGTAAGCTGGATTAATCATCTGTAACAAAGATCTCATCGTAAGAAGTTGAAGAACAAGAGAAACAAGGATATATGAGATTACATAGTTCTTGCATACTCAGGTTCAGCCTCCTAGCATGTGCATCACACCACAAAGATTGTTATTTCATTTTTTTTTTTTTTATGCTTTTTGTCACAAAAGCTTTGACTACTAAAAGTTCACATACAAATGGAACTATTCTTTTAAAATTAAGCATTTTTTTATCCTTCAAACATTACCATTTAATTTAGGCCCCACTCCTCCATTATCCATCTATAATTTGAAAGCGCATTCTAACATGACTTTGCAAATATTATCAAATGACTTGGACTCCTTCATCCTTTGAATCTATCTACAAAAATATCAACCAAAATTCATACCAGTCTCCGGAATAGGTAAGTCCAAGTAAGATAATGAACTGCATCCTCTTTATGGCAAATTGTGCCGGAAACTATCTCTGCATTGATGTGTTCATGCAGTTGCTCCCTCAGACTACTCTCAACAGGAAATGGCTCATATAAGAACTGCAATCATAAAGTCAAATTATATCTGAACCAAACATAAGACCTTTTTTTTTTTTTGGCTGGAATGCAAAAATGGCCATTGGAACATTCATGTACGTGAACTACTTTGATTCAACCTTTTTATAGAAACTCTTTTTGGGTTCATGAACAAGGATAACTGCTTTCCCGTGTTGATCATATTGTGGACGACCTGCACGACCCATCATTTGCATGATATCCGTGATTGGGAAATCAACATATCTCTTTGCTTTTCCATCGTAATATTCTGTTCCCTGCAACACAAAACAGTTTTGTCAGAATGACATGCTTCACTGAATTTTTTATACCAAAATAGTTTCATGCAGAGAGTTAATTAGCAAATGAAATTAAAACTTAGCATATCAAACACTCATCCAAATATCTTTTCTTCTTTTTTCTTGGAAACAGAAACAAATTTCATAAATGAAAAAAAAAAATTATATACAAAGAAAACAAGAGATTTACTCTAAAAACAACGCTGTGTACACTACAAAACAGAGGGAGAGATTGCCAAAAATGAATTTGTTATGCTCCAGTGCATCCACTATCATAACCAACTCAATTAATCAATCTTGTAACTTGAATAATATATGTCCGTAATTACTTAAGAACGAATCAAACTCACGAACAAACTATGTCTCTTTCTCTCACCCTTTTTTTTTTTTTAATCTTTTATGCTTCTAGATTTGTCAAGGTGAGGGAAAAAAACAAAATTGTGAAAATTTTTGGTCCACATTGTGATATCGAAAACAAAGGTAGCTATGAAGAAAATCAAATAAGACCTAATAGAATCACTGAATTGTAGAAAACCCACTTTCTTGAGATATGTGTGTGATTGATTGATTTATAATGAATCTCAATTATTAAAATACGCGCACGCATGTACACAGACATACATATATATAATTGTGGAAAACGCAATCTATTAATTTTGTAAATAGGATATATTAGGAAAGTTTGAAATTTATATTTTGTATCCCTAGGATTAAGGTAATCAGTTAGTTTCCTGATATCCCATGAATAATAGGATAAGGTGTAATCTAGGAGATTCTACTTTTGTGTATAAAACCCTAAGAGGGCCGGCTGTATAGAATTAATTCAGAGAATAAGAAATATTTTTTCTTCTCCTATTTTCCCACATGGTATCAGAGCCTTAGGGCTTGAATCTCTGGGATTAACATTCGGCCTTCATTGCCGGAATTGGTCTCTTGTTTGACCTTTATCGCCAGAAACGTCTCCTCATTCGGTCTTCATCGCCGGAATTGTTTCCTTGTTCAGCCTTCATCGCCGGAGTCATTAGATCGCTGTCTCAAGGGAAGGTTGCTGTCAATTATCACGGTTGCCGCCAGAAATTGTTCCAATCAAATCGACCTTCATCGCTGGTGGAGTCTGCAGTGTAGGACCGGCCTTAATTGCCCTCAAAACTGCTTTGGAAGATGTCAGAGGTGGCAGAAACAACCGTTGCAACGTCGCTGGATGAGATAGAGAATGGACGGTCTTAGCAGGTTAGAGAACTGCAGAATATACAGGCTGCCTATAGACTGAATGGGAAAAACTACCTTAAGTGGTCACAATTGGTTCGGACAGTGCTGAAAGGAAAAGGAAAAATTAGCCATCTTTTAGGGACCAGACCAAAACTGGGGGATCCCAAGTTTGAGGCATGGGATGAGGAGGATTCCATGATTATGGCATGGCTGTGAAATTCTATGACCCCAGAAATTCGGACAGTGCTGAAAGGAAAAGGAAAAATTAGCCATCTTTTAGGGACCAGACCAAAACTGGGGGATCCCAAGTTTGAGGCATGGGATGAGGAGGATTCCATGATTATGGCATGGCTGTGGAATTCTATGACCCCAGAAATCAGTGATACATGTATGTTTTTGGCAACCGCCAAAGATATATGGGATGCAATTCAACAAACATACTCCAAGGCAAGAGATGCGGCTCAAGTTTATGAGGTTAAGGTGAAGACAATTGCTGCGAGACAAGGAGAAAGAACGGTCAATGAGTATGCGAATCAAATGAAGGCCCTATGGCAAGAACTCGATCATTATAGGGTAATTAAAACCAAGTGTCCCGAAGATGCTGCAGTTATCAAGACCTTTATTGAGCAAGATAGAGTCTATGATTTTCTTGTTGGACTCAACCCAGAGTTTGACTTGGTGAGAATTCAGATTCTTGGAAAGCAAGAGGTCCCATGTTTCAATGAGGTGGTGCAATCATTCGGGGAGAAGAGAGTAGAAGAGAAATAATGCTTGAACCAAAGAACACTGATGGCTCAGCAATGTTGGCTAGTGGCGGTAGCAAACCAGCCATGACTACAGAAAAGGCACCGGCACTTGCGAATGTCAAGGCTGGTCAGCAGAAGGCCCAAAACCGAGACTACAAAGATACTTTACGGTGCACTTATTACAAGAAGGCATGCCATACCCGTGAGAAGTGTTGGAAGCTGCATGGGAAACCACCAAGCCGTGAGTGGGGGCAGAAAGGAGAGCAGCCGAAAAGTCATGGACAAGCTCATGTTGCAGCAGGGCAGCAAAGTGAGGGAACACTGCAAGAGATGGGGAGTCTCAGCCAAGAGAAAATCGAACGAGTACGATCCCTTATAGGCAATCTCGACAAACCATCAGCTACTTGTTCATTGGCATATTCAGGTGAGTCTTCATTTTCCATTGGATTAAATGTCTCATATATAACCCTTACCAGCTCCTGGGTCATTAACTTCGGTGCTACCAACCATATGACCCACTCACCAAACATGTTTACCTCATATACCCCATGTTCAAGCAGTAGAAAAATAACTACCACAGATGGATCATTAACCACTATAGCAGGCATAGGAGATGTTAAAATAAGCCCATCATTGACATTAAAAAATGTTCTCCGTGTTCCTCGATTTACCATAAACCTTGTTTCTGTCCAAAAGCTTACCAAAGATTCACATTGCATAGTGTTTTTTCACCATAGTTATTGTTTATTTCAAGACAAGGGTTCGGGGAGGACAATTGGACGTGCTAGAGAACATGGACTCTACCTTCGTGAAACACCTAGTCAATCAAGCATTACCAAGGGCACAACATCTCACTCTTTTGTCTTAGAAATTCTCTCATCAAATAAAGAAAAAATTTGGCTTCACCACCGCCGACTTGGCCATCCATCGTTTAGAATTATCAAAATTTTGTTTCCTTCCTTATTTAAAGGTCTAGATATTTAACATTTTAATTGGGAAGTGTGTGAACTGGCTAAACACAAACATGTACCTTTTCCAATCAGTAATAAAAGAAGCTATATTCCTTTTTATCTCATTCATACTGATATTTGGGGCCCTTCTACTATTCCTAATGTGATAGGGGCAAAATGGTTTCTCATTTATTGATGATTGTACTAGAGTCACTTGGATATTTTTGCTTAAAAAGAAATCCGATGTCAGTAATGTCCTTCCAAATTTTTGCTCTATGGTAAAGACCCAATTTGGGGTCATTATCAAGAGATTCAGATCCGACAATACTAGGGACTATTTCAATAAAGTCCTCACTCCATATTTCCAAAAGGAAGGAATCATCCATGAATCATCATGTGTCAATACTCCACAGCAAAATGGAGTGGCAGAAAGGAAAAATGGTCATCTTCTCGATTCCACCCAATCCTTTATGTTCTAGAAAAATGTGCCTAAATCCCTTTGGGGGGAAGCAGTTCTTAAATCTGCACATCTTATAAATCGTTTGCCTTCTAGGATTTTGGGTTTCAAAAGTCCAATGGACGTGCTTTCCTCATTCTATCCAAATCTACGCACTACAAATAATCTGGTTCCTAGGATATTCAGGTGTGAGGCATTTGTCCATATCCATACTCCAAACAGGGGGAAATTAGATCCAAGGGCAGTCAAATGTGTTTTTGTGGGCTTCTTCTACTCAGAAAGGATACAAATGTTACCATCCTCCCTCAAAAAGGTTCTATGTCTCGGTTGATGTTACTTTCCATGAAGACAAATCCTATTTCAATGATCCTTATTTTCAGGAGGAGAATTCAATAATGGAAGATAAGGACAGGGGGGATTTTATAGCTCTTGATCTTCATCCATCAAAACCTGAGTTTCCCCAGCCTCACTTTCCTGAACCCGAGCCTCACTCCACTGAACCCAAACCTCACTCCACTGAACCCAAGCCTGAACCCGAGCCTGACAACCTAAATTCTGCCATTGAGAATGTAAGATTTGGCAAAGGCAAAGTGTTTTCAAGAAGGAAGAAGGCTATCCCGGAATCTGTGCAAGTTCAAGACTCCAATCCGAGCCCTGGAAATGAGGTAACAATTTCTAATCCTTTTTCTAAAAACTACATGAATAATGATGATCAAGATCTTCCCATTGCCATTAGAAAAGGAGTTAGAGAATGTGTAAGTCGGCCTCTATACCCACTTGCACAATTTCTTTCCTTTGAAAAATTCTCGCCATCCCATCAAGCCTTTCTTGTCAGCCTAAATACTATTGCCATCCCCACCAATTTGTCTGAAGCTTTAACTGATAAAAAATGGAGACGCTATGAATATGGAGATGGAAGCATTGGAGAAGAACAGAACTTGGGAGCTTGTGAAATTTCCTGAAGGGAAGAAACCAGTGGGATGTAAATGGGTTTACACCGTGAAATATAGGGCAGATGGTTCAATAGAAAGATACAAGGCAAGGTTGGTTGCTAAGGGGTAATACCCAGACCTATGAGATTGATTACCAAGAGACATTCGCTCCGGTGGCTAAAATGAATACAGCAAGTGTTTTGTTATCATTAACAGCCAATTATAATTGGGAGCTACAACAGTTTGATGTCAAGAATGCATTTTTGCACGAAGAACTAGAGGAGGAAATCTACATGGAGGTTCCACCTGGTTATGGTCATAACTTAGCTGCACACACAGTATGTAGATTGAAGAAGGCCTTGTATGGACTTAAGCAATTGCCGCGAGCATGGTTTGGAAGATTTACAAAGGTAATGACAGCTATGGGATATCAGCAAAGTCAAGGAGACCATACACTGTTTGTCAAACACTCTTTAGGGGAGGTACAGTCCTCTTAGTATATGTTGACGACATAATAGTGACGGGAGATGATGATGAGGAAAAGCAGCATCTCAGTCGATGTTTAGCTAAAGAATTTGAGATTAAGATGAAGGGAGGCTGAAGTATTTTCTGGGAATCGAGGTGGCTCATTCCAAGCAAGGTATTTTGATAACTCTATGAAAATAGAGTTACCTTAATCATTTCTAAGCTTAAATCTGTTACTAAGAGGGTGATTTGTGAGAGTAATCTTTCAGTTTTAATTGTTTTTATTGTTTTGTTGTTGCTAGTATGTGGTATTTACGTTTTCTGTTTTTTTTTTGTGAAAAGATGAATGGAAAGAAAGAAAAAAAAATAAAAACGTTTGAGGAGACTAAAGTGCAAGTGAGTGTGCAGGCAATTGTCGTTTTTATTAGTAAAAGCTGGAAACGACAGGACAACTTTGCAATGAAATGCTGCAGCAGCTCATTTTGGTCGAATCTTAAAAAGCTGGGATTGTACAGCTGGCATTCTCCACTTATTCTGAAGAGCTGTACTTGGATGGCTGAGATGGCATAATCATGGGAGAAATCCTTAGCAGCTGACACGTGCCCGTGGCTGAGAGCCCCATTTGCGTACCCTAGCTGAGCGAATGAAAGGACGTGGTCCAAGGAGGCTGGCATATATATAGAAAATGAAGAGGAGCTAACGGCAGACACGGAGAGGAGGATAGAGGAGAGATTTTTCAGCACATTTTTTACCAGAGGACAGCCGAGAGAGTACGGAGGAGGAAAGGGAAGCAGCTTGGAGAGAAGGCAACGAGGACGAGCTGAGAGTGGAGGAATCCCCTCCACGTTTATCTTCCATCTCTTCTCTTTTCTAAATCTGTAACTCCATTGAATCTGATATGTTGGATATTATGGTTTTTGCTATTTCTTTTAGTTCTGCATTTGTAAACATGAGCTAATTTGCTATAGCTGGGATTATGATGAACCCTGAGTTGTGATGATGCTTAGTTAATGTTTGATGTTAAGTGACGCTTTTAATTCCGTTCATCCAAGTGCATCTAACGTATTTACTACTCATTGATGGAAATTAATTTGTAGTTATTAATTGGATTTGACTTTGGAAAAAGATAAATCTAGTGGATCTAACTTGGATGATGCAAGATCAGGAAATCTCATTGGAATTTGCTTGATTTGTCACAGTATAGGAATATATTGTTACCTTGTATAACTACTGGAAATTGGTGCATTAAATGATGTTTTGAAATTAGGTTTTGCATAGGAATATGTTAGATCTAATTGAGAAACCCAAACACAAGTAATCTGGGAAGATTATTGTGATTAACGTGTGAAAACCAGGTTGACGAAACGAAAATTTTGCTACAGCATTAAGCAGCAACACGAGCGGATCTGCATCTTAGGGGGATTCTAAATCCTAGCTAGTTTTTACCCTTATTATCGTATCTGATAAGTTTAGAGTGCTCTGAATTCACATTACTCATAGTTTAATACTGTTTGTTTCTTTGAATTGTGTAGTCGATAGTTGAATATCATTTGCGTTTTAACCAGTTTCTTTATTAATGTGTTTAGCAATAGATTTTTATAATTTAGCTCAATTGTCAATCTCCGTGGGAACGATAACTCACTCACTCTTTATTACTTGCTGGCTGTGTATACTTGTATAAAAAATCACATTATTTTGAGCGTAAGATATTGTGCAACATATTTTCATCTCACAGCAAAATATGTTACAGATCTTCTCAAAGAAACCGGGAAGACCGCATGCAAGCCGGCGAGCACTCCAATAGATCCAAATTTGAAGCTCGGAGCAGCAGAAGAAGATGTCGCAGTGGATAGAGAGATGTATCAATGCTTGGTGGGGAGACTTATCTATCTATCTCATACTAGGCCAGATATAGCATATGCGGTAAGTGTGATTAGTCAATTCATGCATAATCCGAAGGAGGTACATCTGCATGCAACATACCGAGTATTGCATTATCTCAAAGGGACACCAGGCAGAGGTATTTTCTTCAAAAGGAATGGAGGAGTAGTGCTTGAAGTGTATACAGATGCAAACTATGCTGGGTCAGTGGTAGACAAACGGTCTTCCGGTTATTGCACTTTTATTGGTGGAAACCTTGTGACGTGGAGGAGCAAGAAACAGAATGTTGTAGCTCGTTCTAGTGTAGAGGCCGAATTCCGAGTGATGGCTCAGGGTGTGTGAATTGCATGGTTGAAGATTATTTTAGAAGATTTGAAGATTAAGTGGGATGGCGCAATGAGACTCTACTGTGACAACAAATCTGCAATCAGCATAGCTCACAACCCAGTACAACACGATAGAACAAAGCACATCGAAATCGACAGACACTTCATCAAAGAGAAGCTGGACAGTGGCCTGATTTGAACACCCTACGTATCTACACAAGGTCAACTTGCTGATGTACTCACGAAAGGACTTAGTAGTTCAGTGTTTCAGAATCTTGTGTCCAAGCTGGGAATGGTGAACACCTATTCACCAGCTTGGGGGGGAGGGTGGAAAACGCAATCTATTGATTTTGTAAATAGGATATATTAGGAAAGTTTGAAATTTATATTTTGTATCCCTAGGATTAAGGTAATCAGTTAGTTTCTTGATATCCTATGAATAATGCGATATGCTGTAATCTAGGAGATTCTACTTTTGTGTATAAAACCCTAACAGCGCCGGCTGTATAGAATTAATTCAGAGAATAAGAAATATTTTTTCTTCTCCTATTTTCCCACAAGAATGAATATTAAGCACTAGAAAATATATAAGAACTAAATCAAAAAAATTTATGTTAACCAGGAAAAAAAAAAGAGCAGCAATAGACAACTTGTTATGTTCCTGTTCTCTTCTGTTCACAATGAATTCTTTTCTACTGAAAACAAAAAATAAATAAATAAAATCGGAAACAAAAAATAAGAAGGCAGAAAAGCATCTGGGATATTATGCAATCAGAAACGGAAAAAATAGTGTAATAATTGATTAAGTCAAACATGCGTTAAATACTCTTGAGTCCAGATGAGTGTCAAGAAAGGATTTTTTTTTTTTTTTTTTAAAAGGAAGGAAAAAAAGAGGAAAATAATAAAATAAAAGCAGATAATTGGGATGTGAGATTGTTCCGTATACAAGAGGACAAAAAAGGACCAAATCTTGTCACAGAGCTCGAGACAATTCAACATAAAACATATCTGCAGAAAGCTCTAGCTAGTGCTTCCAATAATTCCTACATGAATGTATGTGAAAACTAAAAAGGTCGAACTTTATTGCCAGTAAAAAATTGCAATTTTGAGAAACAAATGCGATGCACGCTTATTGTGTGTAGAGTTACCTTACCTTGATAATAACTAGATGTGCTGGCAGGTTTACACCCCAGGCCAATGTGCTAGTACAAATCAAGACCTACAATACTCATACCTGATCAGCATAAAGTAGGGCAGGGCACACAAGCGATTGTTAAAAAATGATAATAAATAAGGTAAGAAGGCTTCAGATGGCAGAGAAATGCCTGAATCTTGTTGTTTGCAAATAGCTCCTCAACAAGAGATCTATCTTTGTCATTTAGACCAGCATGGTGCAATCCAATCCCAAATTGCAAAGTGTGCCGTAGGTTCTGATCAGTGACCTGAGAAAGAACCATCTGCAATGCTTCTTCAGTCATACTAAGAAACTGCCTGGGAAGCTCATCGGAAGCCGCAAACTACAATTACAAACAAACATGGGTCAATAATAATTGTGAAGGAATGCTTAATAGACATCCAAGTGAAATTGAGTCTCACCTGAATGAGGTCAAATGCAGTAAGTCTTGTTTGCCGACGAGATGAAACAAATATTAAAACGGGTTTTGTAGGGGAATGGGTGCATATTGCAGCATATGATGGTTTATTCATACTATTCATCCTTGGACAATAAAACTTTCCAGGATATCCCTGTAGAAAACAACCTGAGATAATATGGTTGCGAAATACATATACAAAGAAAAAAATGGTGCATACCATAAGCTTATTGTCTACTAGCTCTTCTCAAGAACTCACTTCTTTCCCTTCCATTTCAGTTATCAGATTACAAGTGCTTGTATACAGTAAGCTTATTGTCTACTAGCTCATTTCAAGAACTTTCTTTCCCTTCCATTTCAGCTATCAGAATAGAAGTACTACAATTCTGACCATTTTGGTTTTAAGAATTTCACCTCAAAACATGTCGTTATTCATTGTTGCTGTCGCTGAAGTAGGTTCACATTTTATTACGAAATGATCAATTTTTTACTTAGACAAGAAACAAACAACTTCTTAAAAAAAAGGAAAGCATAAGTACAAACCTAGAAGGACCAGAAGTGCACCAAACCAAACAAAAGAGAGAAAATATAGAAACACATCAAATTGAATGAGCCATGGCCACAAAGAAGCTTAAAAGAAACTCTAACCCAAAGAATTAACTCAACTTGTCTCTTAATTTGTCATTGAAGATTTAACTGCAAATTCTGAAGATAGTAAATTTATTTCGTCGCTATTCTGTTCAAGTAGCTATAGATGATGAAGCAATTAATCCACTTGCCTGGATATGAACTTCAAGAGGTACAGGCCTCACACTTGGTTTGAAATTGAAAAGTCCAATTTCTCCAACACCCAACCAATCAGCCAAATCACTGAATAAACAAGAAAGCAAGATCGTTAGATGAACCCAGAGACTAAATCCAATAGAAACACCAAAATGTCAAGCACAAAAGAATTGCACGAAAATACCTTGCATTTGCTAAAGCTGTAGAAAGACCCACAAACCGAACTGCACGCTCTGTTTGCGATGATATGTATCTCATCCTTGACACGATAACCTGGAAATATAGTAACTAATAAAACCCAACAATTGCAGCTCTTTTTGAACATTAATGATGAGCTTACGTTCTGAGTGTGTTAGGATAATAGTTGCCATAAGATCAATAAGAGATGGCATAGAAGAATGAAATCCAAGGATTAGGTTTTATGATATTAATATTGCCCAAGTATTTTAGTGAGTAAATACCTCAAGAATGGGTCCACGATCAGCCCCCAATAAGTGAATCTCATCCAAAATCATAAGACCAACCTATTGAACAGTTACAAAAGTTAAAGCAAGCCAGCTGAAGGCACATATACGATCGAGTTGTCCCAACTTTAACCTAAAATCAGATGGGGGAAAACTCTAACGGAAAAAGGAGAAAAAATTCGGAAAGTGGATGAAAGAACCTTTTTGACATAATTTCGACTGTGCCAATTACGACTGATACCATCCCACTTTTCAGGAGTGGATATAATGATATCTGCAGACAAGAGCGCCATTAAATCTGGAGTATAATCACCGGTCATTTCAACCTGGGAAAAACATTCCATTTTATCAGTACCATATGCCAAAATATGCAATCTGTCTCATAAATAGGAATATTCACCATCTCTTTTCCAAGCTGAGAGACAAGTCCTTTTCTCCAATCATTCATTCTTTCACGAACAATAGCCTTCAAAGGTGCTATGTAAATGACCTGTTTGAAGAGCAATTGAGAAACAAGTCTATTATTACATGAAACATCTAAAATAAGTGATAAGGAATATCGATGAGAAGGTATCCGACAGCTCAATTGGTAGTTTCTTGATGTCAAATTTAAGGACCTAGGATTATATCCTACTTCCACCAGGGTCGGGAGACTTGTGGTAAGGAAGAGGGATTCCTTTCAGTTGTGTTAAAAAAAGAAATGAGAAAACCTACTACTGCGCAACACAATAGTATAAAAGTATTATTTACATCACATAACATGTACACGAAACTGATACAGTTGCATGCTCACATCATGTTTAAAACAAACAAAAATGTAAATGAAAGAATAATATAATATAAAAAAGGGATAAAATTATTTTGGTAACCTACATTATAGTGAAACATGCTCTTGGTACATTTTGTTTTTTATAATATTAAAGCGGTACCTCAACATTTTTTTAAAAACATCTTCTTGGTACCTCGAAGCTGATTTTTGAGACGTAAAAATACCTTAGTACCCTTCTATCTAATTAACCAAAAACTAATAAATGTAGAAAAAAATCATGAGCTATTTTATTTTGTTGTTTTCTTTTAAATATTTTAATGTTTTAAAATATTTTGATTTTTTTTAAAAAAATATTGATTTTTATTTAATTAATTAAAAGGTAGTTTGGACATTACATGTCCCAAAAATTAGCTTCAAGGTACCAAGAAAATGTTTTTAAAAACGTTAAGGTACCATTTTAATATAATAAAAAACACAGGTACCAAAAACAGAACTGAGGCTGAGGCGTCTAGGGTGGAAAACGGGAGGGATCCTATAGAGGATCCGGGATATTGATCTAAAGGAAGAGGGTCATGATTGGTCGGCAGATCTCCTAGAGGAGAGACGAGAGCTAAAACAGCTTTATTTTCGCATTTTAGAATGAGAAGATAGAGCTTTGAGATTGAAATGCAATACCACTTGGGCTAGGGAGGGAGATGCGAACACTAAGCTCTTCCACAGGCTTTTAAATGCTAGGAAATCAAGAAACACAATTTCCAAGTTGGAAAACATATAAGGGGCTATTGTGGAAGATGAGTCAGACATTATAAAGATGATTGTTGGCTTCTACGAGACCCTGTATAAATCTAAGGGTGGTGATTTCAATGATGTTAAGGGTCTAAATTGGTGCCCAATTTCGGCTTTGTGTAGAGCTTCTGGAAAAACCTTTTGAAGAAAGTGAAATCAAAACTGCGATGGTAACAAGGCCCCTGGGCCAAATGGTTTCACTCTCTTTTTTTCAAGAATGTTGGGACTTTGTTAAAAGCGATGTTCGAAAGGCCCTTGATGAATTTTGAAGATCAGGGATTATCAACAACATAACTAATGAAACATATATCTGCCTAATCCTGAAAAAGGCCAATTCGAGTAGAATAATGGATTTCAGGCCAATTAGCTTGGTATCAAGCTTATACAAAATCACGTCAAAGGGAACAGATTAAAGGGGTTTCTCGAGGAGACAATATCAGAGGTCCAACGGGCTTTTGTTGAGGGCAGGCAAATTCTGGATCTTGTTTTGATGGCTAACGAGGTGGTGGAAGATTACAGATTGTTGGGGAAAGAGGGCGTCGTGGTGAAGATTGATTTTGACAAGGCTTATGACCATGTTGAGTGGAAGTTTTTGGATTTCATGTTAGAAAAGAAAGGGTTCAGAATCAAGTGGAGAAAGTGGATTTTGGGCTGCCTTAATTATGTGTCATACCATACTCAGTGATGATTAATGGTAGGCCTAGGGGAAAGTTCAAAGCGTCCAGAGGGCTTAGACAAGGAGACCCTTTATCCCCATATTTGTTTACAATTGCTGTGGATGTTTTAAGCAGACTAATCGATAGGGCTGTTGAAGTGGCCCTTATCAAACCACTGAGTGTGGGGAGAGCAAATGTCAAAATTAGTCAACTACAGTTTGCCGATGATACTCTGTTTTTCAGCTAACCAGAGGAAGAAAGTCTAGCAAATTTATCATCCATTTGGATATATTTTGCCTTATATCTGGGTTGGAAGTTAACTTGGAGAAAAGCACTATTTGGGGAATAAATCTCGAGGAAGTCAGATTGTCCATGTTGGCTGGAGTTATTGGGTGTTCTATAGGATCTTGGACTGTCAAATATTTGGGCCTACCTCTTGGTGGAAATTCTCTAAGGTCAGATTTTTGGGAACCGTTGGTAGTTAGAGTGGCGAAAAGGCCAGATGGCTAGAAAAAAGCTTTTCTTTCGAGAGGTGGTTGGCTTACTCTCATTCAGTCTGTCCTAGCTTCTCTACCATTTTACTAATTGTCGGTTTTTTAGAATTCCTGTCGGAATTGCGGCGGAAATTGAGAAGTTCGTGCGAGATTTTCTTTGGGAGGGATATTCTAAGGGTAATGCTTCACGCTTAGTGGCATGGGGACAGGTTTGCAGGCAGAAGGAATTCGGTAATTTGGATATTGGTAATATCAGGAAAAGGAATGAAGCCTTGCTAGCCAAGTGGTTATGGAGATTTCCGCTGGACTCAGATTCTTTGTGGCATAAAGTAATTGCAGGGAAGTATGGGTTGGCTTAAAATAACTAGGATTCGGGATCAGCCTCACGACTTACTTATTGTTGCCCATTGAAATCAGTTCAATCAGTTGCGGATGGTTTTTTCAGGAATGTCCAATGGAAGGTAGGCTCTCAGGTTCTGGGAAGATTTCTGGTGGTTCGATAGGTCTTTATGTTCCAAATTCCCTCCGTTATACAGGGTTTCGTCTCTTCATGATCAACCTATTGCAAGTTTTGTCTCGGTTTTTTAATCAACAAGGTAGTGGTTCTGCGTCGTGGGATTTTCAGTTCGTCAGAAACTTGACGGACAGGGAACTGAGGGAGGTTTTTGAGCTCATAATGATTGTGGAAAGGGTTAGTCTTAATGGCGTGGTCCAAGATAGAAGGGATTGGCTGTTGGATTCTGGAGGTCTGTTCATCGTTAAATCCTTCTACTCTTCTCTGGTATCTGTTGAATCAGCAACAAGATTCACTTATTACAGTCATATTTGGAAATCCCATGTTCCTGTCAAGGTTAAAGTTTTCGGTTGGCTTCTTGTTCTTAACAAATTAAACACTCGTGACTTGCTGCAACATAGAAGTCCTTTTCTCTCAATCACTCCGGGCTAGTGCACTTTGAGTAAGAATAACGGAGAGTCAGCAAACCATATATTCCTACACTGCCCTTTCTCGTTTCAAATATGGTCATATCTCCTAAAAGAGCTTGGTTTTTTGTGGGTGATGCCTAGGAGCTGTGCTGAGCTACTCGAACTCTCTCCACCATCTGACCTAAGTCACAGAGGGGTAATTTTATGGAGGGTTGCATTGTTAGCTATTTGTTGGGGCATTTGGTTTGAAAGAAATAGCAGAGTTTTTTAGGATCGTGAGGAAGATGCTTCCGCCTTATGGGATAAAATTAAGTATTGGGTATCTCTGTGGGTATATAGGATTAAAGAGTTTGGTCAGCCGTTTATTCTCATATTTTGATAGGGATTGGGCACTGTTTTTGTAGTTTTTGGCAGTTGTGTCTCCTCACTCTTCTTGATTTTTGTTTTTTAACTTTGGTCAGTAGAGGAAAGCTCTTCCTTTGCTTTTTCCCTTTTGGCTTAATAAAGTTCTCGTTTCTTTTCAAAAAAAAAAAAAAAAAAAGGTACCAAGAACATGTTTCACTATAACGTAGGGTACTGATAAGACCCAGCCCTTGGTTAGGTGGGTTTATGTTAGGAAGGGGAAACGGTTGTAAATAGGGTTGCTTGTATAGGATTAGACTTGGGGGCTTGTAACAGATTAGCGGAAGTTGCAGGCTTGTAACAGATTGGAGAGGTAGTTACAGAGGGATTAGGAGGTAATGTGGAAGAGAATAAATAGGAAGGGAATAGGGGATTACGGGCTATTGTGCCAGTTGGGAGGTTGCAGTCCCTCGAAGAACTGTGGTTGTATTCTTACGATTGTGATTCAATAAGAGTTCTTGATTTCTTTGATTCCTTTTTCGTTTATCTTTTTGCTTGTTTGAAGGAGGAAACCCTAGATTCTATCATTTTGGTATCAGAGCAACGTCTGGGAAAGGCAAGGAGAAAAAAAAATGGCAGCGAGAAAGGCGGAGGAGAGATTTGAGACCGTCGAGAAGGAGATGAAAGAGATGAGGGAAGCGATGAAGGAGGTGAGCGAGGTCAAGACGGAGTTGTTGCAGAGCCTGACCGATCTTCGTCGAGTCTGGGAGGAAAACTTGAAAAACTTTTCGTTGGCAGCACCGGCGCCAGAGAAGTCGAAGGCGATCGCAACGGCGACGGACGGTGAGACGGCGTCGAACGATTCCGGTGAAAAAGAAGGGCCTCAAGTGGAAGTCGTTCTGGGGTCGCAGGGAGAGAATCGCGCGGGGGAGAACCGCGCGATAGACCGCAGAGCTCCTCGGGATTTTGGGCAAGAGTTCGCGGGGGAGGAGAATTTCAAGGGAGATGGTGGACGGGAAGCGCCGGTGAGGAACCAGAGAGGGGAAACCCTTGGGCACCGGGCCGATTGGTGGAGTGCGACGGGGGAGGAGGGATTCCGAAGGAATGGGGGCGAAACAGGCGGCGGCGTGGGCACTCGCGGGTACGGCGGCGGAGAAGCGTGGCGAGGAGGAGTGAGAGAGGAAGGACGGCGGGAATTTGCTAGGACAGTTTTTCTGCACGGGGAAGGAGGTATCAGGGACACTAGGAGGAACATGGGAGGTCGGGAAGAATCTTTTGAGGACGAAGACTGGGTGGCTAACCGCCGGCGGCACATTGAATGCCCTGTCTTCAGCGGGGATGACCCAGATGGGTGGGTGTTCAGGATGGAGCAGTTCTTTGGCATCCAACGTTGTACTGAAAGAGAGAAGTTGATCACGGCAGGAATAGCTTTGGACAATGAAGCTTTGTCCTGGTTTCAATGGCAAAATGGGAGAAGGCCTTTCGTCAATTGGTTGGAGTTTAAGATGGCTCTCTTGCAGCGTTTCCGTTCGTCTCAGGAGGGAAATTTATGTGAAAAGTTTTTGGCGATTAGGCAAGATGGGACAGTGGCCGACTACTGACGGAGGTTCGAAATCACGGCTGCCCCGCTCCGGGATGTTCTAGAGGAGATTTTGGAAGGGATTTTTATAAACGGACTCAGGGCTGAAGTCCGGGCGGAATTAAGGTTGTTGAAGCCATCTGGGCTTGGCAAAATCATGGAAACAGCGCATCGCATAGAGGAAAAGAATGAACTTTTACGAAAGGAGGTGACTGGGTTGAGATGGCCACGGCCACAACCGCCAGGAGTTGCTCGAGGGGAGTTTCCTACTGTGTCCTCAAAAGCCAATGGGGGGGCAGAACGGCGGCCACTTCGATTCCCAACAGTGGCAGAAAAGACTGCACCCCAAAAGAAGGATTTTCCCTTTAGGAAACTATCGGACTCCGAATGGCAGGAAAAAAGGGAGAAAGGACTATGCTTTCGATGTGATGAGAAGTTCACCATGGGGCACCGGTGTAAGAAGAAGGAATTACGAATCATGTTGGTTAGTGACGAGGACGAGTCCGAGTATGACGAGCTGGACAGGGCTCAACCGTGGGAGGCTGTGGAGGAAGCACAACAGGAAGTTATCGAGCTTTCCCTAAATTCAGTGGTGGGGTTATCGACTCTAAGGACCATGAAGTTTCGTGGTATCATTGCCCAACAAGAGGTAATTGTCTTGATTGATTCCGGTGCGTCGCATAATTTCATTTCTCTAGAAAGAGTGAGGAAGTTAGCTATTCCTGTTATTCCAACCCCTGGTTTTGGGGTACAAGTGGGAACAGGGGAGTCGGTTCGAGGAAAAGGACTTTGTAGGGAAGTAGTTTTGACTACCAAATTTGACAATTGTTGAGAATTTTCTGCCATTGGAATTGGGAGGGGTGGATGTGATTTTAGGCATGCAGTGGTTAGAGACTTTGGGAGGGATGCATGTTCATTGGAAAACGCAGATTATGAAGTTCAAGTTAGGAGGTGAAGGGGTGATTCTAAAAGGGGATATGAGTCTCTCTAAGGCCATGGTTTCACTTAAGGAGATGTACCGCACTATTAAACAAGATGGGCATGGACTCTATCTAGAGTTGAGTACATTACGGGTTGACTCCAACACAGGAAGCACACTGCAGGAGCCGGTGCAACACCTGTTGCAGCAGCACTCCAAGGTTTTACATATGCCGGGTGGCTTACCTCCCCGGCAGACGCACGACCACCGCATCATACTTCAAGAAGGAACAGGCCCCATTAGTGTCCGACCATATAAATACCCCCATTTCCAGAAAAACGAGATAGAGAAGTTGGTGAAGGAGATGCTCGCAGCCGGAATAATCCAGCCAAGTACAAGCCCTTTTTCCAGTCCAGTGCTTTTAGTCAAGAAAAAGGATGGAAGCTGGCATTTTTGTATTGACTACCACGCACTCAACAAGGTCACGGTACCTGACAAATTTCCCATACCAGTAATTGAGGAGCTCTTGGATGAACTGGGTGGGGCAACTGCTTTTACCAAACTGGATTTAAAGGCTGGATACCATCAAATCAGGATGGAGGAAGGGGATGTCCCGAAGACGGCATTTCGTACCCATGAGGGCCACTACGAATTTTTGGTGATGCCGTTTGGTCTTACCAATGCCCCTGCCACCTTTCAAGCATTGATGAACGAGGTACTAAAACCATTTTTGAGGAAATTTGTGTTGGTGTCTTTCGATGACATTTTAATCTATAGCACTTCTTTTGATGAACACTTGACACACTTAGATGTGGTGTTAACAACGTTGGAGGAGCAACAATTATATGTTAACCAAAAAAAGTGTACATTCGCCCAAAGTCAATTGGAATATCTTGGACATATCATTTCAGAGGGGTGTCGGCCGACCCTACCAAGATTTCAACAATGTTAGATTGGCCGACTCCTCGTTCTATTAAGGAGTTACGAGGCTTCTTAGGTCTCACAGGGTACTATAGAAGGTTTGTGGCTGGTTATGGGCATATCGCCTGGCCATTAACCCAACAGTTGAGTAAGGATAGTTTCAACTGGAATCCATTGGCCAAGGAAGCTTTCCGAAGCCTGAAAACAGCCATGACAACGGTGCCCGTACTTGCTTTACCAGATTTTTCCTTGCCATTTGTGCTGGAGTCGGATGCCTCTGGTTTTGGAATTGGAGCCGTTTTGATGCAGCAACAGCGACCAATCGCCTATTTCAGCCAAGTCTTGTCGGCCAGGGCTCGCGCGAAGTCTGTTTATGAGCGGGAATTGATGGCTGTGGTTCTCGCTATCCAGAAATGGCGTCACTATCAACTAGGCCGACACATTGTTGTGCGGACAGACCAGAAAAGTCTGAAGTTGCTTCTAGACCAACGGTTAGTGAGTGGGGAGCATCAACACTGGTTATGCAAGTTACTTGGGTATGATTTTGAGATACACTATAAGCTGGGTTCAGAGAATCAGGTGGCTGATGCTTTGTCTTGGAAACCCTCTGATTTGGAGCTCATGCGGCTGAGTTCCACGGCCGTTTTTGACTGGGACTCCATCCGCCGACAGGTGCTACTGGACCCGAAGTTGGCTGCAGTCAGGGCTCAATTGTTAGACGAACCTACAGCGGTGAAGGGCTATACCTTGGTGAATGACTTATTGCTCTACAAGAATCGGGTGGTGCTTCCAAAGAAATCTTCTCTCATTCCCGTTCTGTTGGAGGAATTCCGTGGCAGTAAAGTGGGAGGCCATTCAGGGGTTTTCAAAACCTATAAACGGCTCGCTGTAGAGTTTTTCTGGTTGGGAATGAAACAGGATGTCATGACCTTTGTGGCCGCTTGCCTTATTTGTCAACAACATAAGGTTTCTACTCTTTCTCCGGCTGGCCTGCTCCAACCTCTTCCACTTCCGACGAGGTTTGGGGATGATATTACGATGGACTTCGTGGAGGGATTGCCCAAATCCGGGGGCTTTGACACAATACTAGTGGTGGTTGACCGTTTGAGTAAGTATGCTCACTTTCTCGGCCTGCGTCACCCATTTACCGCCAAGTCGGTGGCTGCCTTATTTGTAAAGGAGGTCGTACGCCTCCATGGGTTTCCTCGTACCATCGTTTCGGATCGGGATAAGGTTTTCCTTAGTCACTTTTGGACTGAACTATTCAAGCTGCAGGGTACTTCCTTGCACCATAGTACCGCTTATCATCCTCAAACGGATGGCCAGTCCGAAGTGGTGAATCGCTGCGTGGAGGCTTATCTTCGTTGTTTTGTTTCGACACAACCCGGCCAGTGGTCCACCCATATTCCTTGTGCAGAGTATTGGTACAATACAAGTTTCCATGTCGCAGCGGGAATGACTCCTTTCCGGGCCTATATGGTCGTGACCCCCCTAGGTTGTGTCGATTTGAGAATGGCTCGGCTGCCAATTCGTTGTTGGAGCAGCAACTTCAGTCTCGAGACGCTCTCTTGGATGAGTTGAAGGGACACTTGCTGCAAGCTCAGAATGATATGAAGATGCGGGTAGAGATCTCAAACGGAGGGACGTCCATTTTCAGGTGGGCGACTTGGTTTTTTTGAAGCTTAGGCCGTATCGTCATCGTTCCCTGGCCAGGTTTGTCAATGAGAAATTATCTCCTCGGTTTTATGGGCCATATAAGATCCTCGCTTGCGTGGGGTCGGTGGCATATCGGTTACAGTTACCGGTGGCGGCCAGGATTCACCCAGTGTTTCATGTCTCATAACTCAAGCGTGCTATTGGAGTGACCGATATTTCTCAGGAGCAACCTTATCTCCTTTCTGCGAACTCCGAGTTGTAGGTCGTTCCAGCCCAGCTATTGGATACTCGTTTTTCTCGTGATTCTGGCCAATTGGAAGTGCTGATCAAGTGGAAGGATCTGCCTGATTTGAATCCTCTTGGGAGTTGTTTGATGTCATACAACAACAGTTTCCGGAATTTCACCTTGAGGACAAGGTGACTCTTTTGGGGGGCGGAGTAATTGATAAGACCCAGCCCTTGGTTAGGCGGGTTTATGTTAGGAAGGGGAAACGGTTGTAAATAGGGTTGCTTGTATAGGATTAGACTTGGGGGCTTGTAACAGATTAGAGGAAGTTGCAGGCTTGTAACAGATTGGAGAGTTAGTTACAGAGGGATGAGAAGGTAATGTGGAAGAGAATAAATAGGAAGGGAATGGGGGATTACGGGGTATCGAGAAAGAGAGATTGGGGAAGAAGCTTGGCTATTGTGCCAGCTGGGAGGTTGCAGTCCCTCGAAGAACTGTGGTTGTATTCTTACAATTGTGATTCAATAAGAGTTCTTGATTTCTTTAATTTCTTTTTCGTTTATCTTTTTGCTTGTTTGAAGCAGGAAACCCTAGATTCTATCAGGTACCAAAACGATTTCCCTATAAAAAACAAAGAACAAGCTGTCCTTAAAGGAAAAAGTATACTACAGTTAACCGATATGGTACTCATAAAGCAACCTAAATATCATTTAAATTAGTTATAATGTAGCAACAATCTTTATTTGTTTTGACGGAGTTTTGAATGTACTATAACCAACATGAAAACTTCCAATTGTCTCTATCTACAATTTGTTGAAGTTTTTCTGCAACATATTGCTTAAATATTTATTATGTACCTTCATATCAGGCTGAGTGTTGAAGAGGCGAAGCATAGCAAGCTCAGCAGATATAGTTTTACCACTTCCAGTGGGAGCTCCTAGTAGAACATTATTGTCGGTGTGGTACAGAACATGAAAGGCCTGCAGTGACCCAAATAAAAGATCAAATTATTTCAAATACTTTTGATATACAAGTAAATTAAGATGAAACTACAATAAACTAACCTGTGTCTGTATTGGATTAAAATGTGAAAATTTGTACAAGGCTTCATAGGTAATGTTACCGAGTGCACCCACAGGAAGAGGTTTCAAATCTAAAAGTTCAGTGTGAGAAGTGTGAATCTGTAAAAAGAAGGGTTTTATATGAGGCAGAGCTTTAGTTGGAGAACAATTGGGCGTAATAAAGTTTTTGAATGCATTTGAAAAATGAGAAAAAAAATTTAGTAAGAAGAGAGATACAACACCTCAGGAAGTGCTAGATTCTGGAAAGATATCGTGTAGAAAGCCTCTGCCTGCAACCAAGAATCAGAAACAGCGTGAATGTAGTATTGTGGTGGATGTGGTTCAAATATCGGCACAGTGAAAGATAGCTTCTGCGGTTCTCCTTTAGCCATCCGCTTTGTCAGGGTGAAAAGCTCCGAGTGGTAAATGTGATCATTCTCAGTATCCTGTTCAGATTTAATTCAGAAGGATCCTTTTAACATTTAAACTGGAAACTTATTATTTTTTGACAAGAAGAAAATAACTGAATTAAAGAACAGAAAAAAAAAAAAAAAAAAAAAGAAGAAATTCATAATTGCTACAATGCAGAATATGTATATCACACCTAGAGCTATTCTAAGCCAAGTATCAGGTAGTTCAAAACAGAAGTAAAAGGTAGAAGAGGTGTAACAACTAAAGAGTGGATGATATCAAAAGTTCAGAGAAGATTGACCTGATCAATAATACAGAAAACTCAACATACTAAGTCACTGAGCAATTTGCTAATTTCTTTTCTCTTTCTTTTTTTTTTTTTTTTGGCTTTGTGATGTTCTAGACTATGAAGAAAAATTGCCTGCCAAAAAATATCAGCCGGTAAACCTAAATTTGAAGTGCTTTAATTTTCTTCTAAAGTTGAAGAAAAGTGCAATAACTAGTCCAAATATTGTTTCTAATAGTCAACAAGAAGTTCCAACAACCGTACCTCTTCTAAGTAGTAGAATTTTTAAGATTATGTCAGCTATATGTTACTAGGAAAAGTAACCAGAAAAGGTAATTTCATCAGTACCTCAACCAGAATCCACCAACGTAGTGCAGTACCATGAAAACGATCTTTCCATATAAAATCGGGCTTTAAAAGCAAATCCACCTGTTAATTGAAATTGATAATCATACAATGAAATTCTGTTTGACATGATTTTTTTTGGGGGGGGAATCTGATAATAGCTGAAAGGTTACCTTCAAAACAGTTCTGGTGATCGGACTTACAGTTGCCGATAACTGGATCCAGGGGAAGTATCCCAAATATTGCTTAACCACCTTCCATTCCACGAAAATAAAAAATTAAAATGCCTTAAATCCTAAAACCTATGAGCACGGCAGAGCAGAAATTTTCAGAGCATTGTTCTATGGAACATATTTACCCTCCCTCCTGGTGCGTAACGAATCAATGCTCCAATATCTTTTTCTTGCATATCCTGCAAGCGATCTAAGTCAGCTCCACGCTCCTCCAGCTTTCGCAGTATCTGAAACAATGAAGCAACATGGTTAAGAACTGTTTGGTATAATAGTGCAGGTAAAGCAAGTTGTAGAGATTATGCTGAACAAACTTCTGATGAAATATCCTTGTCGAAATGTCGGAGAGGATGTTGTTGGGGCCAAATTTGGCGATCCACAGCTTTGCAATATTCCAACATGAACAATGTCATTTCACACCAGCCTTTGCGCAAACAAATTTCAAATAGAGCCCGCATAATACGAGCCAAGCTTGCACTTATATAAGCAGCATCAGAAACCAATGAAAAGGTATCAATTGATCCACGAGATATATATAGCTGCAAGTCACATAGACACCATATCAATCAGTAAATATTACCCTTTTTATCTACAATACAGCATTTACCCGAACAAGGTATGAAGCTCTGTTCCCTAAAAAAAAATAAAAATAAAAATAAAGGAAGGTTATCAATCCCTGAGCAGAAGTAACCTGAATGAGAATAGAAATCTTTCCATATTTATTCGAAGGACCACCCCTGACTTCTAATGGACATGATGTACGTGCTAACATTTCCAGCTCATTCTGTTCCTCTTCTCGAACAACAATATTCTCAAACTCAGAAGAATGTGCAACCATGTCAATTACCTAAAGGGGCAAGAGCAATGGAAGTGGTTAGAAACAAATAAAAGAGAATACTTCACGGTAAGAGAATGGAAGTGCATCTAGAGTAAGTCCTGTACAAGAGATGACTAAATCATCCAATAGTTGTTAATCAGCCTTTGCCCTTCTATCCTAGAAGATTGTGCTGCAAGTGTAACTAAAAGAATAGTCCAGAAACATTTTGAAGAAAATCCTAGAAGAGTAAACCTCATGGTAATGGAATGCAATTGGTCAAAACAAACCTCACTGTCATTCATATGTCTTCTCAACATATCATTGTACGTTTCAACACTAGAGTACTGAATATAAAAGTGACTTGCGATGCGACCAAGCTCCGTACAGTAAAAGTTGCCACTTTTCTCATCAAACCGCATCATCTTCGCGTTGTCAAGCGCACGTGCAGCATCTGTTACAAAAGCTCTTTGCTTTAAACTCAAACTCGGATCAGCAATGACCTGCCAAACAGAAAAACAAAACGATTTTTGTTGAAGCACCCGATACGTACAAAGCATATATGAAGCAAAAAATAAAGCTAGAGAAATCTTTAATTATGTCCTAGTGGACTAGATGAATTAGTACAATGTTTTGAGTTATCCAGCAAGCACATATATGTAGTTTATTTTTTATTTCGTCTAGAAATAGTTAGTGTCCCTCCCTAGGACCAGCTATATTGTTTGAACCCATCTTTCTTAAATAGTGCCCCTTTGGTCCACTAACCCAGGCATTTTCCCAAAAACTTTTCTACAAAATTGGTGCCTTCCTTATAAGAGCCAATAACATTCTCCCCCAGCCCCAGGTAATTTCATACACTTACATGATCTAGAAGTTAATTTTTTTTCTCCTCACAAGTAAGATCACAATGTTGCATGAATTTTTCTTTTTATAAGAAATAAAGAAACTTCATTAAAAATAAATGACAACGATAAGTTTCCAGATGGACGAGAAGTCCATCAAAGGAAAGAGCAGAAAAAAAGACAGAAAGGTAAAGCTTACAAAACACTAAAGATTACAGGACCCAAAAACCAAAAACAATGTTGCATGAACAATTACATAATACATATCAACAAATATGCATTACCTCGTCCCATCCAATACCATATGCCAAAGGATTTATTCTCATCCTTATAAAAAGGTATGTATATCCAAGCCATGCACAAGCTTCCTTGACATTCGTGACAGTACCCAATGCCACCTCTGCATTTAAATTGTCCTTCAAGGAGCTAATAAACTGCAGACAAAAGAGAGAGAAACTGTTGAAATAAAAAAAATGTACCACCTTACCAAAAAGAAACTCCAAATATAGAACATAAAGGACTGTTTACATAATCAACAGTGAACTTTAAATTATAAAGCAGGCAAAGTCAACATGACCTTTTATCTTGTGTTAAGGGGGCAAAAGCCAACTTGGAATGTGCTAAACTTAACAACAAATGAAAGAATTTTTTGTGATAAAGACAAACAATTAAAACCCCCAAGTCTGATCAATGAATCAATTAAGATACAGAAACGATTTCTGGAACTAACTGCTTAAATCAACTTGGAGATTGTACTGTATTGCCTTGAAGCAGGAAAAATAATTGAACATCCTACTAAAGTCTCCACTTTTGACAAATAGACTCATGTTAAGAACATGCATGCTCAAAATTGCTAACAGAATCCCAAAATTCTGTCAGTTTCCAGGCGGGATTGGTCTAAGAAACAACAAACTTCTATTGAGAGACCAAAAGAAAAAAGAAAAAAATAATAAAAGAAAAATAATAATAATCATAATGATAATAATAAAAATAATAAAATAATAACACAAGATTTTGCTCAACAACTATTTTATAGCATAAAAGAATCATTAAAATTCATAAGTACCTGACTTTCTATAGGAAGTTGACACGTCAACAACCGTAGATAATAAGCAAGTTTGTCATGGGACGTGATTATGATGCCTTCCCCACTTTTGTCAAATTGAGGTCTTCCAGCACGACCAAAGATCTAAAACAGAGACACCAAGAGAACGTTACCCAAAGGGGGGAGTTAACTTTAAATATATGATAGCAGGTATTTTTGCAGTCTTACCTGCATAACATCAAGCATGCCTAGATCTCGCCACCCACCAGCCTTTGGATCATATAATTGGGTCCCCTGGAGCACAAGATGAGAGGTTATATCAAATGGCAAAGAAAAGGCTTTAAACCTTCCAGGATACATAATTCTCAGAGACTTGGATGGCGTTTAGTTCATGGATTCAAACCATGTGATTAGAATCATTTTTTATTTACGTGTATTTTTTGTGAGAGAAAATACTGTAACGAACCACGAACCATGATTCGAATCAGGGAACGAATCTAGGTACCAAACGGACTCTTGATCAAACAGTGAGCAAAAATAGAGGAAATTCTAAGCATATCTGCATAATTGCACACTAAACTTAGGTTACCACATGCATTCATTTCACAAGACGCACACCACCATGGAAGACAGTACTTGCCACAGGATCAAAGTCTCGTGCAGAGATACAAGAGAAACCAACAGAAAGGGCATTTTATTTATCAAACCACCAAATGACTAGCAATTTCAATTCCAACAGCTCACAAAATCATGTTGAATAATGTTTTCACCACATTTTTATTGAAGTCACTATTAATTAGTGTTTTCTCCATAACAAGCAAGATTATATTCACAATCATCATAAGAGTGGGAAGAGCCTAGCCTAGTGAGTTCTAGAAGCAATTGATTATAAGAACACATCAAAGTTTGTTTTGCTAACTAGTCTACAACCAACTTCATCCTTTCAAAAAATCTTGTATGTTAAGAAAATTTTGATTTAGTAGCAAATACATAGAAAAACATAAATGAGATGCACAACAATCAACACCAACCTTAATCACAACAGTGTGAGCAGGAAGATTTACGCCCCATGCCAAAGTTGCAGTACAAACAAGTACCTGGTAACGTAATTGTATAAAACTATATCAGCAAATTGAAAATGTCATGATGGGAATTGAAAAATAAACAAGCATACCTTCAAGAGTCCATCAGAAAAAAGACGTTCAGTCAGACCTCTATCAGCTCGTAACATCCCAGCATGATGAACACCAACCGCAAATGAAAAAAGTTCAACAAGATCTTTGTTTCTAGACTTGAGAACTTCCTTCTGGAATACAAGAAAATAGGAAAGTTATAAACCTTGTGAAAAGTAGTGATCAAGACAAGATGATTGTTAAACATTTTTTCTTCCTTGCCTTGATTAAAGATAACTGTGGATGCGTGTCATTATTGAAGAGCTCCAGATCGTCATACTTCCGAGCAAGTTCGGCCTGCTCAACATGTCATGAAAGACATTAATAGTGAGAGAGAACTTAAAAGAGATGAGCTGGCTATATTTAAAAGAGATGGAATTCTATCCTTCAAGGTTGACTGTTAATTGCAATTTGCAACAAGGTTCCAATTCACAAAATTAGTTTTTACAAGAAGTATCCCAAAATGATTAACAATACTTAAATTTCCCATTTTTATATTTATACGCCACTATGATGAAATCAATTTCGATCACATAATTCACATTTCTATAAAAATTTCTTATATGTATAAAAATTGAGACACGCATTCTAATTGCTTTACTTTCCAGTGACCTTTTTTTATTCTTAGAATTAATAAATAGTAATTACTAACTAATGTTACAATATTACATTAAATCATAAACCTTCAAACTATTAGTTGACTACACAATAATGAATTTCCTTTTTAAGTACATCATTTTACTTACAAGTAAACTAATATACTCATACAAATATGAAAAATGGAAATGGTAATACCAAGGAACACTAATAGACAAGAATCTTGAACACCATAGAAAAGTTAAAAGTGCATTCGAAAAAAGATAAAAAGGTATACCAGCTTTTGAGCTGTTTTTGCCGTGTCTTTCCGGGAATGAACAAATACCATTGCTTGATGACCTTGCCTCAGCGAAGCAACAACCTGTGGAAGGATACTATAATGCATATTATATGTGTTTTCCAATATTCAAACGATAGAAAAGAATGCTCATTTGAAAGCAGAAACCTTCTTGTAACATATCTCATTCAACAACTCATTCCGAGCTGCAAAGTTCTGCTCACTGATACCGATATACTGTTGTGCCAAAGGCACAGGACGGTAGCTAGAGTCAAAAAAGAAGAGTCCTGCATCTGGATTCACTCGCAGAAATTGTGCAACCTACGTGTTTAAGGAAAAGAATCCAACTAAATATTTCAGAATCTTTGGACTTTAGCTTACATAGGCTCACAATTAGAAATCAATAATAATGACTATGAGAAAACTAAACCTCCAAATAATTAGGTAGAGTAGCCGAAAGTCCCACAATTCTTATCATTGTTTGTGTTGATTCCACCTGTTTACCATAACAAGAGTTTTAGATTTGAGACAAATCAATCACATTTACTAGATTCTTTTTCCAGCAAAAGGGAAAACGCACAAACACGCGCGCACGAATGTGCACAAAATAAATTAATAAAAAAGTAAATAATAAGAAATAAAAAAAATGTGATGCCACCAGCACCAAACACTCGGAGAATAGCATAGTAGAGTACAAAGCAAAGTAAAGAAGATAGTATCTACAACCTCTAGTGAAAAATTTGCAGAAATGCCTTCTTTTTTGGTTAGTCAAGGTGATAACCTTTTTTTCTATTAAAAAGAGGGGGGGGGGGGTAATAACTTTTTATCTTAAGAAAAAACAAAAATTAAACAGCAATTACCTGGCGTAAAGTCCGAGCGACAAGCGCTTCTATTACAGGACCTCTATCATCATTGAGGAGATGCACTTCATCAATAATTAAGAGTTTAACTAGCATTGAGAGCGACATATCACTACTCTTGCGAGTTATGACATCCCATTTCTCTGGTGTTGTAACTATCATCTGCACGACAAGAAAAGTAAAGCCATTAGCTCTTGCATGTATGGTGCAATAACGACAACTAAGCATGTGCAATTTCATAATAAAACAACCTGAGTTTCTTCAAGTTCATTCTTAGAAAGTTGCATGTCTCCAGTAAGTTCTTTCACAGTCATATTCAGTGGAGATAAACGATGGCTAAATGTTGATGTAACCTCAGCCGCTAATGCCTAAAAGCAGTTAGAACAAAAGATAAAAACTGAACAAGTAGTGACTCCAACATCCGTATCCACAAAAAGGGGAAAGAATACACGCACACTTACACTCACGATGGAAGTAAAGTAAACAATGAACGGGGTCTACCTTCATTGGAGCAACATAAACTATCTTAAACTCATCCTTGTGCAAGTAACCATCCTTGAAATGCTGCCCAATCTGCATCCAAACAGTTCATTCACTGACCCTCAAAATTACAAAAAGATGTATGAAGCACTAAGCACTTAATTTAAATGACTTGTATCAACTTTCTAATGCCTACAAAACAAATTTGAATTGGGACTCATAACATTCTGTTTACTAATATATGCAGATAGCATCAAAATAAAGGAAATATCTATATGGAAAATTACCAAGCTCATACTGCATTGTAGAGCACACTAAGAAACTTGCTAAGGAATTAGATTATCAATATAGAGCTCAATCGCTATCAAGATTAGTTTTCCACCAATATCGAAGAAGCAAACTACCGACATAATAATCCCTAAACTAAATTAGAGAAACAGATGCAGCAAACTTATTGCACACCTCATGGAGAATAGAAATCATGGCTATATTTGTTTTGCCCGCACCTGTTGGAGCACAAACCTGAAATTGCAAGAAAGCAATGTTAGACGTATTTAAATCAAAGCAAAACTCCCACTGTTGCATTCAATATATGTCATATAGCAGATGACTTACTAGTATGTTCTCATTAGTGTAATAAACAGTTTGAAATATCCGGCTTTGAATGCGATTTAAAGATTTGTAGCCACGAAAAGCAGCTTGGGCAAAATCATCCAACTCCCTAATTTCAATCTGTCAACAAAATGATTGTGTCAGGAACATGCAGTAACATAAGAATCAATGAAAAAGAACTGATTGCTAAATAAACCAAAAGAGAAAGCAAAAGTGACCAATTTGTTCCAGAACCAGTAATTAGAAGGTATACTGCAAGCAAGTGAACCTGACTGCCACAATCTCCCATACCACCAGAAAACCAACTTTTTAAAGAACAAGAAGCTATCTTTTTTTTTTTCCCCCTAGGGTCTATGGTAGAGGGATTAAGAAAATAGGCTAAAAAGCTTTTGTAAGCTCTTACAAGTAAAATAACGCAATGCCAGCTCTTTAGAAAGTAGAATGATTCACCCAATTTCAATTACTACGTTCAGAATTCATAACTGTACAGCAATTTGCTCATAACTGCCCTCTAAGGTCATAAATTCTTTCTTGAAAAAAAATTAAAAATAATTAAAAAAAAACACTTTCTATTTGGTGATTATACAAGTACAACATCTGTTTAGCCATTCTATCTTCTTCTTTTTTAAGTAAGCCATTGTATCTTCACAACCACTAAAATAACCAACTTAATAAGCGGGGACATATCTATTAACAAATGAGCAAGGAATTGTATCATGACACAATTGAATGGTTGTCAAAACTCAAAAGTCAAGACCAGTGATACCAGCTTTTCACCAGGTTTCATTTGTGCTGCTGCTGTTGGGGGGATAATAACCTCCTCATACCCCTTATAATGCTTCCTGACAGTTCCTTGAGGAAGAGCGCTGACGGCTACTTGGCCAGACCCAATCATATCATCAAAAGGACGTTTATTCTCACTTGCTTGAAGTAAAGAAGAGAAATTCACAGAAGACAAGTCACCCTCAGCCCCATGTTCTGCTCCTCGCCTATTTCGCTTTTCTTCCTTGCGCCGAAGTTTATCGATTTGCTTTTCAGACTCTGTCTGAACAGTAACCTAAAACAGAACAGAAGTATGGGCTTGCTTATTGGGCCTGTCTCTTATGGTGCTTTACATATTATAAGATGGGGAACGACATATAGAAAAGCCAATTATTACCTGAGTGCCGTAACTAGGCATGCGTGATTGAGAGGTTGAGGATGTTTTCTCAGATTTCAAGACGAATAAACCATGATGAATACAATCAACAAGTTCTTTCCTATGCTGGGGGAAAAATTTGAAAGTTCAATTTTAATCCTAGAACAGCTAAGAATCTAGAATAAACCTCTTAAGACTTTTTTTTTTTTTTAGGAATAAACCATCCACAACCAAACAACTGAAAAAGTAGATTGCAAACTATAACATAATAGAATTTCTTACCGATATAAGATCTTGTACAGTTTCAAATGCACTATCTCCAACAATATCCAATAAATCACCAGCTATCTTCAGCAAGGAAAAGTTTTCAAACTTTTTAGTTTCCATTGAAGTGATTTTCAAAGCAACAGCAAAAAGAATAACTACTAAAACATACCTCCTCGCCAGGTTTATCTGAGTCAAGCACCTGACAAATGGCTAATGCTAATTTATCTCGAGAAAGCTGTGAAGTACTTTTTCCAATTATCCGGTCACATGCACCTCTTAACCAAGTTAAATTAAAACGTCCTCCATCAGAGGCAGCATATTCAGGGGTAAAGTCATGAAGACCATACCATCCTTCATGATGTGAAGAAGAAGATGCATTGTTTTCCTCAACCAATACATCCTCCAATGGAATATCCACCAAGAAACGTGATGGTGGTTGAAAAACAAGGTCAACGCCAAATTCAACATTTTCAGAACTCTCATTTAAATAACCTTCTGAAACAAGTGCTTTCTCGTGGCCAGCAGGCTGTAGTGCAAAGAGTCTACGTGCTAAAGATGCAGCTTTCCGCAAGTGACCGTCAGAAACTGCATGACCAAGAAGTTTTTGCAGCTCTGGCCTGTATTACATTACCAAAATTACTATTGAAAGTTTGCCAAATTAATTTATACTCTTACTATAAGCAACTAACTTTAATAACAAATAAAGTATTTAAGCGCCATGACCCCAGCACTCTTTAATTTGAATCTGATGTGACGAGATGTGATCGCTGTTGTGATGTACATTTTGAAAAATTCTTAAGGAACTTTTAATTCCATTTCCTATTACAAGAATCATTGTGTTCTTGCACCATAGGTACATACAAGTCTAAGTTATATAACAAAAAATTTCCTTTTCAAAATAGTGAACAGTGTTGTCTTGACTTCTGATTAGTGTTTCCAATGGATGCAATACCCATTTCTTTCTACTTGGTTAACATTATAAGTTTATCGGAACATCCTAAAGACATCATAGTTGAACTCCATATAAGCCAACCCATTACCCAATAGTAAATACTAACATTCAATACCACTTTCATTTTCCCTCGTGAAGAACATTGCGCTGATGAATACAATTAGACTGATGGGCTCAAATCCTTACCTTTTCTCGGCAATATTTCTATCGGAAGCTTCCTCCTCCCCGCCAAAAAGGCGGTAAACAGTTAATGCCACCTCGCGGAACTCTTCTGATGGCACTTCCCTATCTATCAACTCGACAACCGCTCCAATAAATTGCTTGTAAGCTTGCCGCACTTCTGGTGAAGCTGCTCCACCAAAGACCAGTTTAACATAACACATTTTGTCAAAGCCCATAAGTAAATTAAACTCAACAAAATTGCAATACCTTCTTCCCATCTATGAACTATCTTCCGTGCAAGCTCTGACTCATCTACCGAGCTCGCGGAACTAAAACATAAAACATTGAAAGTTTGGTTGGCAAATCGACAATAACCAAAACTTTTAATAACAATTAATCTGAAAAACTTTCAAGCGCTAATAAAATGGAGATTTCGGATTGAAATATGAATTCCATTCAATAGTTGGTCGTGCATTACCACGAATAACCCTAAAATTATCTTAATTTACCGTTTTCCAATACCGAAACTCCTATTAAATCATCAGTCTACAAACATTTTTCCTCAATTATAATAACAAAACAGAAAAACAGTTTCTACGTTTTCTTGGCAAACAAACAGAAATCTTAATGAGAAAAAACAAGAAAAATAAAACAAATTTATGATTACTTGCGAGGCTTGTGGTTCTGGAGGATAAGCTTGCGCTGCAAATAGGCTTGATCGACGTCGAAAGGACCTCGCAGTGAATTGGTCAGCCGCGGAAGCTGAATCAACATTTTTCTGATGGACTTTTCTCGGTCCTTTCACGGCAGGGAAAAGAAAAGAAAAGAAAATGAAATTAAAATGAGATGAGAATTGGGGAACTAGCAAAGAGGAAAAAGTGCGACTCTTTTGAGTTTTGACCGTTGAGCTCTCTGGTTTTATAGCTTTGGGGTTTTGATGCATTGCCAGTATGAACCGTTTTCGGGTTTCCTGATTTATCGGGTCGGATACTTGTTTGGATAGGTTCTTCATTCTTGTGCTGCTGTGCTTTGTTGTTGGGTAATCTTGACAAATAATATTTGAAAGTATATGGATTAAGATTTTATCATTTACTTTTTATTCATAATTTTTTTTAAATAAATAATTACGGCATCATTCATTTCACCGATTTGAGTTTAAAATTTAAGTTTTAATACAGTAAAAAAATTTTAAAAACAGTCACAAATTTTGATGCTACTACAGAAAATAACATACAAGTTATGAAAAAATAACCTACAAGTTATAAAAAATAACCTACAGACTACGAAATGTAACTTATAAATTATGAAAAAATAACTTTCAAATTATTAATGACGTGAGATAAATTTACAACAATAGCATAAATAAAATAACACGTATTTTGGTTTTCTCTCTTTAAAGTTTTGGCCAAAATCGGGTCTGGCTTTTAGGACAGTTAAACCAACCGTCTTCTCATTGTTCAGCTTCGATTTTGTCATTTTGGTTGAGTAGCCCGAATTTACAATTATATTGTGTGAAATGATAACTTTACACATATGTGATGATTTCAACGAAAGAAACCGTATAATAATTTTGGATTTGTTACAAAAATTCTCACTCAATTATAATTTATCCTTCGATTTTTAAAACGTAGAATATGTTCGTCCAATCTATAAAATATTAACTCTTTGTTTGGATTTTTAGTGGAAATTGACATATAGTTGCCATCAGGTACATAATAAAAGAGCCCAACTCTATTGTGTTTAAAGCTAATTTGACTTTAAAACTTTTTTTATGATATAATTTAAAAAGGAATATGTGCAAACATGGCCCTTTTTAATCCTTTTTTTAAGTAAGTGATCCAAGTTTTCTTACATTTAAAATGTGTTTTTTTGAAATAATTCATCAATGATGTACTTATTTATGATTTATCACTAATTAATTTGGTGGTTTATCATGGATTAACTTGATGATTTATCACTGGTTAACTAACAATATCATTGATAAATCATTGGTACATCATTAATTAACCCCTCCAAAAAAATACCATTTACTTAAAAAAAAAAAAAAAAAAAAAAGTTAGCTCAGCCATTAATTAAAAAGGGTGATCAAAACTGTCCATCCACCTAATTTTCTCATTTGAAGATTCTAATTCTGAAGATAAATAAACTAGTAAACCTTTAAAAAAAAAAAAGATAATAATAATCATCTCTCCTGTCACTTTCGTGTTAATCTTTCCTTTCTTCTTCATTTTTTTCCTCTCTATTTATCTCCGTGTTTCTTTCTCATCCCGCCTCCAAATTGTAGTCGCCCTCACCTCCATTGTTGCTTGCTTCGTCCCAGGTGTCGCCTTGACCTCACTAACGCTAGATCTTCTTGCTGGAACCACGCAGAGGAGATCTCCAAATCCCCTCCTTGCACATTTTCAATGTGAGGGAGATTAGTAATACCATACCTTTTCTGCGTGAGGGAGGACTTGGTGTCCCCTAATTCGGACAGACGATTAGATCTCCTTTAAATTGGTCTACGAAAGACCACATCCACTTCTTTGGTTTTGTTTTATTACTTTGATTTCTATTTGTTTTCTCCTTTTATTTTTCCGGTCGCAAAAGAATAATATTTTTGTATGTTACACAATCCGCGATAGTTGTTTCATGGTATTTTTTATATCATGACGACTACTCCTCAGTATCACGATAACAAACCGACAATGATCGAAAAATAACCAGAAGTTTTAGCATCACGATGGACCACTTCGTGGTATTACAATAAGATACCATGTCAACATCGACAAACTATTGTTCATTGTTAGAATTTTAGAGCATGTTCTTTTGTCTAAAAAATTCAAAAAAAAAAACAATTTGAGTTTTAACTTTATTCAAATTCACGTTCTTTTAAGTTTTAACTTTATTTAATTTTACTCAACTTTATTCAATTTACAACTTTAACTCAAATTATAACTTAAATTCAACTCAAAAACTACACTCAAATTACACTCTAAAAAAACAATCCCTTAGTATCTCAACATGATATCTCTGAGTATCATAATAGGATACGGATTATCATTAATTAATAGAATATTAAATATTAAAACGGAATACCTCTAAGTATCATGTTGGATACTAACAGTCGACTCATTATTTCACTATAGTTGGTTTTCGTTATTTTTAGCATCACAATTAGATTAGTACGATACTAACAGTTACCGGTGACTACTTTTGGTATATTAGTATAATACTATTAGGGATATATTTAGGGGTTATTTTTTAATGAAATTTAAAAAAAGTTTAAACTCGAGTTGTAATTTTATTTAAGTTTATATTCTTTTATAAAATTTGAGTTTGAACTCGAGTTTGGGACTAAACTCGAGTTCAAATTTTTCCTTTAACTCGAGTTTATAAACTCGAACTCAAGTTAATGAACAGTTTTTTTTCTATTCTTAAAAATGTCATAACTTTTTCTGTTTAATTCTGAATGAAATTATTTTTTTTCTATACATTCACAACGAAAAAATGAATAAAACCTAACTCATATACCCTACTAAAATTTTTCATCACCATTGAGTTTTTATTAAAATACTATCTAAATATAAATTTAAGTTTTGACCCACCTAAACACAAACTCAGATTCCCAATTCAAATCATAACTCAAATGTGCACATTCAAACACAAACTCAAGTTACAACTTCAACTCAAGTTATAACTCAAACTCAATTCAAGATCATTACTCAAGTTATCCTAACTCAAAAATGTAAAAGAACAACCCAAAATAAACAAGGCCTAAATTAGTATAATATCTTAAATATAATACAAATTCAAATACCTAGTACGTAAAAATTATACATTATACGCCAATATAATATAACGCACCAAACGTCTGGTAGAAAGTCATGTTAAATGAGGTCTAACTTAGAGACCAAAATGAGGGTCAATTGGAGAATTACCACTTATGCCCTTAATTAGAGTATACCATTTATTGATATTATTTATTATTGTTAAACATGTCATTTTGATATTAAAAATTTAAAAACCCCTATAATCTCCCTTTAATCCCTTTTCTTTCTCTCTCCTCCCTCTTTTATATGTTCCATCACCGACGATCTTTTCTATAATGCCGACAATCTTCTCTCTTGCATAACGCCAACACAAGATCCCTGCCGTCCCAATAGGGCGCCGCCATCACAAATTCACAATGTTCAGTGATTCCCATCGTCAATGCAGTGCTTTGTAGATACTTTTGATTAAAAACTGGTCAATAAAATTCTTGAAATCATTGTAGTGTTGAGCATTAACATTTGGAAAAGAAGCAAATAATCAAAAACAGTAAAACACCAATTGGTGAAGTAGGTCATATTTTTGTGGGTTGTGGCTAAAGCTAAAGGAAGTGGTGTTAATAAAGGGTAAATTGGACCTAATGACTAATAAAGATTGTCTGAATCCAAGGAGGGGAAAAAAAGTTAGAAATTACTCTTAAAATAAAAGCATTTTTAATGTAATACTATAATTATTGTACTATTACATTTTTTGAATTATTTTTATTGATTTATTACTGTACAATTTGTTGTGAGAGACTAAGACTGGAGTAGTCTAAAGGGCCGTTCTTTTCATGGATTTAAATAGAAATTTTGAATTTATGAAAGAAAACTTTTTAATAAAAAGGTTGAATTGAAGAGTGGATTTTAAGTTGTCTATCATCAAAAATTAATTTCAACAATGAACAGTAAATTCGGATGAAAGTACCATTACTGCTCATTTACGTTTCTTTAACTTATGGTTCGTTTACTTAAAATAGAACATTTTCAGATGTAAACTTTTAATTTGTTGTGTCTAGTTGATCTTCACACTGCAACTTTCATTGGAGAGTTAAACATAAATATGTGTACTCAAATGGTCTCCATGCAAAGCAATTTCTAGTGTAACACCCTGAAGAATTAATTGAGATTAATTAAGGTAATTGAGATTATTAGTGTGCCTAATCTGATTTAATTAATTGAGTTTAAATAATTTCAAGGTATTTAAATTATTCACAGTAATTTATTTAATCCAGAAGTGTGTATGGGCGCATTTCTGGACTGTTATATTTTACACATGTCACTTTCTTTTATTTTTCTTTTCTTTTCTTTTCTTTTTCTTTTTCCTTTCTTTTCCTTCCTTTTCTTTTTCTTTCCCGTGCATTTCTCTCTCTCTCTCTCTCTCACACACTTCCGTGCT